TGGAGACAAAGTGTCTCCCTCAAATTTCCTGTACTGAATTCTGTTAAACCATAAAGATGTTTAATAACACTGCATTTAAAGACGGCCTGTATGGATCGCTTTACTGAATTAGCTCAAACTGAACTCCCACAGTGAAAAACCTGTTTAAAAACCTACTGATCTGTTTAAACCGAGGCATTAATATAGATATTAATAAGCTAATTATATACACAATCATCATTTACAGGGTACTTTCTATTGGGAGGAGTCTGTCCCAAACCCTGACCCCTAAATTTACACTTCTGAAAATAATAATACTTACATTTTTATTTGCTTTTTTCAGTGTTGTTTTGTGTTCTAAAGAGATGTTGAACAATTTAGATTTATTATGAGTTTAATTTTTAAATAAAAACTTCAATTCAAAAAATGCTGTCCCATGTCTTCATGTCACTACTGAAACACAGTTTTAGTCTGTATCTGTAGTCTGTTATTTTAGCTACACCCCTGCATTTCAGAGCAGGAAGTGAGGCTGCATCCCTGTCCCTCATGGCCACATGGTGAGCAGTTAGATCTGTTTTGAAGTAAATGTGTCCCAAAGTCTGAAAATCAGTGTGGAACATTAAGAATCGTCACTACCGAAACACAGATTTTCATCTTTTTAGTGTTTTAAAGAAAAATATGATGATTTTCTGTGTGAACTGCTGAGTTTCTGAGCTCAAAATGAGCTAAAATTGTCACTACTGAAACAGACACTACTGAAACAGTCACTACTGAAACAGACACTACCGAGACAGACACTACTGAAACAGTGACTACTGAAACAGACACTACTGCAACAGTGACTACTGAAACAGACACTACTGAAACAGTCACTTCTGAAACAGACACTACTGAAACAGTCACTACTGAAACAGTCACTACTGAAACAGTCACTTCTGAAACAGACACTACCGAAACAGACACTACTGAAACAGTCACTACCGAAACAGACACTACTGAAACAGTCACTACTGAAACAGTCACTACCGAAACAGACACTACTGAAACAGTCACTACTGAAACACTTGGTACAGTTTGGTAGAGTTATGATTGATTTGGGATGTTCAGTCATTAGTTTTAATAAAATAATCATAATTAAGGTTTAGAGTCACTCAGAGCAAAAGGGTTTTGGTCTAAAGTCTAAGATCATTTAAAGTCCTGAATGTGTTTCAGCTCTGACTGAGTTCATAAATCCTGGCAGTAACTAAAAGTGTGCTTTATGTATTTTTTGCTGTAATAATGTAAATGTTTTGATCTTTCTGTCATATAAAACTTCAGTACTCTAATTTTGAAAGCATTCAGTTCATTCAGAGGAACGGCTGCTGTACAGTTTTGATTTGTTTTAATAACAAAGGGAGGCTATTAGTGATATCTGTGTTGCTCAGATACGCGCACTGACAGTTTTTGTTGGACAGAGTGATAAATATTTGGTCAGCAAACAGACGTATTCTGTATTACGGTGTCGTTTCACGGCTGATATCACATCGAGACCGCATTGTTTGTTTATGATACAGGCTACAAAAACACGCTGTTCATCAACGAGACTATTAGTGCACCACAATAACGAGTTTTCTCAACTTTATCAGAGTTAACTTAATCAGCAGTAATAACATTGTAATGAGAGGCTTTGAAGGGGTATTCCACCAAATTGTCAAAATGTCTACTTGATTAACCGGTTAAGATGTAAACTGTGTCTGTCTGTGTTTTGCTTGCAACTAATCATTTTTCTCAGTGCAGGACCAAGATTCTCTCAGGAAACAGACCCAGAACACTCCACTGTTTATAATATAATTTAGTAGTTAAGATGTAAACAGAGTCGTTCAGAGCGGTTTGGTTTCTAGAGAAACTTACAGAGTCAGAACTGTTCACAGTGGTGGTGATAGGAACCAGACGTCCACCTCTAAAAGCTCCCTCACAGAAAATTCCTACATGAAATGGTTATGAATTCACTGCCTGATGACTGAGACACTGTTTTATGATAGTTTTGAGAAGGTTTTGGTTTAAAACTATTTACTATCCAGAACCACCGGTTCTAAATAAAATGTCTATATTTGTGTTGTAGTCATGGCGACCCCTGGTTCACCACCACTGTAAAGATGTCAGAATTCCTACAATGACTGAATTCAAACTTGTCTGGGTGATTAAAAACACTGTGGGCTCAAAACACATATTTATTGCTGTTTACTCAGTCTTTGAAGGTACAGTTGTGTGCTAAAGTTTTGGCACCCCTGGTCAAATTTCATGTTATAACTTAATTTTTCACCAAAAGCATGTCATCTGACGGGGGGTGCCCAAATTTTGCACATGACTCTTAATTGTAAATATGTGACAGGCCACATGAAGTTGTGGCGCAGGCTGGATAGCCTGAGACCCCTGATTTAGAGAAACATCAAGATAGGAAAATATAAAGTTATACTTTATTAGCAAAACTTAATCCCAAAATATATCAACAAATTCTGAAAATGGTATTAGAATGAATTTATGAGTGCAATGTTTAGTATTGTATTAAAGCTCCTTGAGAGCTTTTATTCCAGCTTTGGATGCAGAATGAATGAATGATGAATGAATGAATGAATGAATGAGCAGCTGATAAGAGCTTATTTATTTACTGTCAACCTTGACGTTTAGATAACAAACAGTGCTGTACTGAGCTCCTCCCAGGAACGCATTACTCATCTGTTTCTGTCTGAGAGAGATTAGAAATAAAGCTGTGAGTTTAATACTCAGTAAACAAACCCAGAACAGACAATACAGCCCTGTATCTAATGTAGCGTTAGATCTGTTTTGTTAAAACAGCCGACTGAGGTTCAAATCCTTCAGTGTTTTCATCATCAGCAGAAACTAAGAGTTAGAAATGAGAAGTTACAAAATACAACTCACTCTTAAAGGGCCCATATCCTACATTTAGTCTCCTTATTTTTCCCTCTGAGGCCCCATTTAGAACATTTGTGTTGCTTATGTACCAAAAATAGTCATAATTCATTTCAACATCATCATTTTCCAGCACTTATAAGTAAACAGGCTGTTTAAGGTGTTACTGGGCCTTTAAGACTGATGTATGTAAATGAGCTCTGTTTTGATTGACTGTACCTCCTTCAGCAAACAACCTGGGCTAAAACACTCCTAACATCAGCATTAATGGGTGGAGACAAACTGCTGCAGGCTGTGTGGGTGAATATATGTACATGTGTTAATTTTTGTGACATCACAACAAAAAAAGGGAAATGTGTTTGATGTGATATGGGCCTTTAATGTTTAATCATTTCTTGCATGTTCTGATTCTGTGTCTTTGAAATTCAGTTATTCTTTTGAGTGTATAAACAGACATGTTTATTTAAAGACCCCAAATATATAACTGTTCACTGTTTTTGTGAGGTCATTAAATCCAGCACATTTACATATTCAGCCTACAGCAGCTTAGCCCCGCCCATTTACCCATTCTGAAGATACAAGTGGTGTTTCAGCCCAGACTGCTTGGTAAGACGAGCACAATTAAATGCAGCCAATCAGAACAGAGCTCATTTGCATATATCAGTCTTAAAGGCCGAGTGACAGAAACAGCCTGTTTGAGTTTAAGGGATAAAGAGAGGTTGGAAAATGGCTGATATGTCATTGTTAAAAGTGTTAAACAGTGTTATAATTGAAAAACGCAGGATACGGGCCCTTTAAAGCAAATACAGGACACAAAATGTGCTAAAGAGTGACAACACTGTTAATTACCGCATCATTCCTGAGAGTCTGAGTGTGTGTGTGTGAGTGTGAGAGTGCGAGAGGGAGAGATAACGTCACCCGAGTGACACGGTGGTCTTTTTTCCTCCTCTGTGGGGGTCGCCGGTGACATTGTCCCTCAGCCGTCACGTGCTGTGGAACATGCTGGCTGCGGTGGGGCTGCTTTTGTCCGCGCGGTGGCCCGTTCTGCTTTTCTGGCACTTTCATACAATGGTGCCCGCGAACACTGTTATGTTATCAAGCTTACTCTCACTACGGCTGCTGCACTTCAGGCCTACAGTCAAGCATCCTTACCCTGAACACATGGCACAGGACATCACGGCCTCGAGACGTGGCTGAGGACTCAAAATTGAGAAGATCGAGAAGTTACGAGAAGGTAAAACCCACCGTATGGCCGCTGCTGCTCCTTACAGGCGCACAGTGAACACAGCGCTGCACTGAACTGACCGGATTTAAACGTCCACATCGTTTCCACATGATATTCACACTTAAATCAAGTCAGTTCACTGTATGACTTTGTTCTCTTTATGATTTTCAGCTTTTCTATGAATGACTTTGCTGCTTTTCCTCAGTGATTCATTCTTCATTTGATAGCAAGGATACAGAAATTCATGGTATTCATAGATATGCTATATTGTAAAGGGGAATCCCACCAATATTTCAGCATAACTGAGATGTAAACAGGGCCACACAGAGTGGATTGATGTGAAATGCCATTCTAGATAAACTGACTCTGACGTCTTTACAGTGGTGGTGATAGGAACCAGGGGTCACCATGACTACAACACAGATATAGACATTTTATTTACTATCCAGAACCACCAGTGAACCTACACGAGTCTTCTGAGTTTATATGGAATGTTGATGATGGAAAATAGTGGAAAATCTGAAATAATAAGTTTTCTTTGGGGACTATTTTGCCTCACAGCACCCTGCAAATTATGTATCCCTCCACTATGGATCATAAAACAGTGTCTCAGTCATCAGGCAGTGAATTCATAACCATTTCATGTAGGAACTTTCTGTGAGGGAGCTTTTAGAGGTGGACGTCTGGTTCCTATCACCACCACTGTGAACAGTTCTGACTTGGTGAGTTTCTCTAGAAACCAAACCTCTCTGAATGACTCTGTTTACATCTCAACCAATTAATTCTGTAGACATTTTAGACCTTTGCTGGAATTTCCCTTTAAAGCCTTTAAATGTTATTACTGCTGATTACTCAGATTTGTACCCGTTTCTCTGTTTCCTGCAGAATGTCTCTGAGAGCAGACGCCGCTCAGTGCGGCGGTGTGGTGGTGGAGTACGAGAACGATGACATCAGAGAGGCACGAGAACGGAAACAACGGAGTATACCAGGTAAACAGCTACAGCCACACCTGTAAGAGCCAAAGACCAGCGGCTTTAAAGAAGCACAACTGCTACATTTACTCAGTTACTCCAAATGTAGTCAATTAGCCGAGACGTGTTCAGTGTCTGAAGTTTGCTCTTTAGTTTTAGCACTGGAGCTCTGAGGCTAATGTAGCTAATGAGTAATTAACACTGGAGCTATGAGGATAAATGTAGCTAATGAGTAATTAACACTGGAGCTACGAGGCTAATGTAGCTAATGAGTAATTAACACTGGAGCTACAAGGCTAATGTAGCTAATGAGTAATTAACACTGGAGCTACGAGGCTAATGTAGCTAATGAGTAATTAACAATGGAGCTACGAGGCTAATGTAGCTAATGAGTAATTAACACTGGAGCTACGAGGCTAATGTAGCTAATGAGTAATTAACACTGGAGCTACGAGGCTAATGTAGCTAATGAGTAATTAACACTGGAGCTACGAGGCTAATGTAGCTAATGAGTAATTAACACTGGAGCTATGAGGCTAATGTAGCTAATGAGTAATTAACACTGGAGCTATGAGGCTAATGTAGCTAATGATTAATTAACACTGGAGCTATGAGGCTAATGTAGCTAATGAGTAATTAACACTGGAGCTACTGAGGCTAATGTAGCTAATGAGTAATTAACACTGGAGCTCTGAGGCTAATGTAGCTAATGATTAATTAACACTGGAGCTACGAGGCTAATGTAGCTAATGAGTAATTAACACTGGAGCTACGAGGCTAATGTAGCTAATGAGTAATTAACACTGGAGCTATGAGGCTAATGTAGCTAATGAGTAATTAACACTGGAGCTACGAGGCTAATGTAGCTAATGATTAATTAACACTGGAGCTCTGAGGCTAATGTAGCTAATGATTAATTAACACTGGAGCTACGAGGCTAATGTAGCTAATGAGTAATTAACACTGGAGCTACGAGGCTAATGTAGCTAATGAGTAATTAACACTGGAGCTACTGAGGCTAATGTAGCTAATGAGTAATTAACACTGGAGCTATGAGGCTAATGTAGCTAATGAGTAATTAACACTGGAGCTACGAGGCTAATGTAGCTAATGAGTAATTAACACTGGAGCTACGAGGCTAATGTAGCTAATGATCAATTAACACTGGAGCTACAAGGCTAATGTAGCTAATGAGTAATTAACACTGGAGCTACGAGGATAAATGTAGCTAATGAGTAATTAACACTGGAGCTCTGAGGCTAATGTAGCTAATGATTAATTAACACTGGAGCTACAAGGCTAATGTAGCTAATGAGTAATTAACACTGGAGCTACGAGGCTAATGTAGCTAATGAGTAATTAACACTGGAGCTACGAGGCTAATGTAGCTAATGAGTAATTAACACTGGAGCTACGAGGCTAATGTAGCTAATGAGTAATTAACACTGGAGCTATGAGGCTAATGTAGCTAATGAGTAATTAACACTGGAGCTACGAGGCTAATGTAGCTAATGAGTAATTAACACTGGAGCTATGAGGCTAATGTAGCTAATGAGTAATTAACACTGGAGCTCTGAGGCTAATGTAGCTAATGAGTAATTAACACTGGAGCTACGAGGCTAATGTAGCTAATGAGTAATTAACACTGGAGCTCTGAGGCTAATGTAGCTAATGAGTAATTAACACTGGAGCTACGAGGCTAATGTAGCTAATGAGTAATTAACACTGGAGCTACTGAGGCTAATGTAGCTAATGAGTAATTAACACTGGAGCTACGAGGCTAATGTAGCTAATGATTAATTAACACTGGAGCTATGAGGCTAATGTAGCTAATGAGTAATTAACACTGGAGCTATGAGGCTAATGTAGCTAATGAGTAATTAACAATGGAGCTCTGAGGCTAATGTAGCTAATGAGTAATTAACACTGGAGCTACAGGCTAATGTAGCTAATGAGTAATTAACACTGGAGCTACGAGGCTAATGTAGCTAATGAGTAATTAACACTGGAGCTACGAGGCTAATGTAGCTAATGAGTAATTAACACTTGAGCTCTGAGGCTAATGTAGCTAATGAGTAATTAACACTGGAGCTAAGAGGCTAATGTAGCTAATGATTAATTAACACTGGAGCTACGAGGCTAATGTAGCTAATGAGTAATTAACACTGGAGCTCTGAGGCTAATGTAGCTAATGAGTAATTAACACTGGAGCTCTGAGGCTAATGTAGCTAATGAGTAATTAACACTGGAGCTCTGAGGCTAATGTAGCTAATGAGTAATTAACACTGGAGCTACGAGGCTAATGTAGCTAATGAGTAATTAACACTGGAGCTACGAGGCTAATGTAGCTAATGATTAATTAACACTGGAACTATGAGGCTAATGTAGCTAATGAGTAATTAACACTGGAGCTCTGAGGCTAATGTAGCTAATGAGTAATTAACACTGGAGCTACGAGGCTAATGTAGCTAATGAGTAATTAACACTGGAGCTCTGAGGCTAATGTAGCTAATGATTAATTAACACTGGAGCTACGAGGCTAATGTAGCTAATGAGTAATTAACACTGGAGCTACGAGGCTAATGTAGCTAATGAGTAATTAACACTGAGCTCTGAGGCTAATGTAGCTAATGATTAATTAACACTGGAGCTACGAGGCTAATGTAGCTAATGAGTAATTAACACTGGAGCTACGAGGCTAATGTAGCTAATGAGTAATTAACACTGGAGCTCTGAGGCTAATGTAGCTAATGAGTAATTAACACTGGAGCTACGAGGCTAATGTAGCTAATGAGTAATTAACACTGGAGCTACGAGGCTAATGTAGCTAATGAGTAATTAACACTGGAGCTCTGAGGCTAATGTAGCTAATGAGTAATTAACACTGGAGCTACGAGGCTAATGTAGCTAATGAGTAATTAACACTGGAGCTACGAGGCTAATGTAGCTAATGAGTAATTAACACTGGAGCTCTGAGGCTAATGTAGCTAATGAGTAATTAACACTGGAGCTACGAGGCTAATGTAGCTAATGAGTAATTAACACTGGAGCTACGAGGCTAATGTAGCTAATGAGTAATTAACACTGGAGCTCTGAGGCTAATGTAGCTAATGAGTAATTAACACTGGAGCTACGAGGCTAATGTAGCTAATGAGTAATTAACACTGGAGCTCTGATGTAGATCATCCCTCTAGAACAGGCTGAGTTGGGAGCAGAGACGGGCCGAGGGTCACCAAACCAACAACCCCTTCAGGCTGTTCTTAAGTGTGTTCTTGATAAGAAAAAGTCTGCGTCAGATTCATGTCGTGTTCTTAAAGCGCAGAACTGTTCTCACCTTTGTGCTCTTGAGTGTGTGTAGATTCTGTTCTTACCTGAGAACAAACCCCACATTAGAGAACGTTGGTGAGTCAGAGTCTTCGTCAGAACTGCGAAAGTGGGTTTAAGAAGAAACTTCTTAACAGCTGGAGAACGAGGCCCAATGACTAAAGAGACCAAACATCTCTGGCTGACTGACAAATTTATATTAGATTTTTATGCTGAACTATCAATTAAAATTGCAATGTAAGCAGAAGGAACTGCTGCAAAACTACTAAATTGGATTTATGAGTCTGTGTACAGTATCTCAGCCCGAGTTACTGTAAAACAGCCCTAAAAAGATTATATTAGGGATGCTGAAAGCTCTCTGAGACGTCTTCTCTGTCTCTCTCAGGATCTGCCCTCTTCTACCTCAAGGGCCCCAAGTTCCTCATATACGTCAGTGGAGCGTTGTCTATGTGGGTAAGAAGCCTTTCAGTGCCTCAGTACAGAAATGAAACCCGAAATTCAGCCAACTGCAATAGCTTTCAGTTATTCTGATGTGCTTCTTTGGTATTGCTGGTGTATTAAAGGGGAATTCCACCAATTTTTCTAAATTTCTGCATAATTAAAAGGGTAAGAGGTCAACAAATTCATTTAGAGTGATTAATTGTAGAAAAAATGTACTTTCTCTGACTTCTTTGCAGTGGTGGTGATGGAACCAGACACGCCTTCAAAGGCCACCTCTCAGAAAGTTATTTATTTATTTATTTATTTGTTTGTTTATTTATATTTAAATTCATCCATGGTGGAGGGGTGTGTGCAGGGCATTGTAAGGCAAAATAGAAAGCTTTAAAGATTTTAAAGATTTGTTTAAAGATTTTTTCCTTTTTTTTCATGAGATGGAAATGCCGCATTTTAAAGGTGAATTCCTCCAATTTTTGAAAAGTTCTGCGTAATTGAGTGTTTGAGATGTCATTCAGAGTGGTTTGGTGTGAAATGGTTCAGATGTCTTTACAGTGGTGGTGATAGACATTTTATTTACTATCCAGAACCACCAGTGAACCTACATGAGTCTTCTGAGTTTATATGGAATGTTGATGATGGAAAATAGTGGAAAATCTGAAATAATAAGTTTTCTTTGGGGACTATTTTGCCTCACAGCGCCCTGCATGTATCCCTCCACCATGAATGGAGTTTAAAGCTGAAATCTTTTCAAAACTGTTGGTAAACAGTGTCTCAGACATCAGCAAAATCATATAAGAGGTAAACCACAATGGTGCATACCATTCAGGAAAACAGAGTGAAAAGTTGTACAGTCTGCTTAAGTCTTGCATCATCCGTCCTCCCGGGGCAACAACAGCGGACTCTGCAGAACAAGATTGGCAGCCAGCTGAACAAAACCCACAGTTTTTTTTCTTAAAATCAGCTCATCAGAAAATGCCTGTTCAGACTCAAACTAGTCACAACAGTCTAGCAATCACAAAAATGGCCACAGGTTTAGTGTTCCATGAAGGGGGGTGGGGGGTTCTGAAATTTCTGTCGCCTGTATAAAGGGGGAATAAGTCCCTCCCCTCTGTCTTGTCAAAACAACATGATCACGTTCTCAAATCCTCTCAGTGATCAGGCAGTGAATTCATAACCATTTCATGTAGGAACTTTCTGTGAGGGAGCTTTTAGAGGTGGACGTCTGGTTCCTATCACCACCACTGTGAACAGTTCTGACTCGGTAAGTTTCTCTAGAAACCAAACCGCTCTGAACGACTCTGTTCACATCTTAAACACTTAATTATGCAGAAATAAAAATCTATCAGACTGTGATATGCTGTTTCTGTTGCCAGGGTGATCGCATGTGGCACTTTGCCATCTCTGTCTTCCTGATTGAGCTGTACGGGCATAACTTACTGCTGACTGCCATCTTTGGCCTGGTGGTGGCCGGCTCTGTGCTTTTACTGGGCGCTCTGATTGGAGACTGGGTGGATCGAAACCCAAGAAATAAAGGTACTAGATCGGTGATTGGCTGAAGGCTGTGGTGAGATCTGAATCTCTCAGACATTAAAGGAGAATTCCAGCATTTATCAACCTGACCTCTGTCTGGTGTCTCTGTAGCGAACAGTCAGTCACCACAGACACTTATATTAACATGTTTCCCCAAACTCAGAGAATGCACTGACACTACATTCACCTGTAGCAGAAGTGAATGAGCAGATACTGTAAATAAACATTGACATGCTGTTCTTATGAACTCTTTCACCCAATTTTACTGGAACCACACAGTAAGAAAGCATTTCTGGTTATGTGTGCTTTCTCTAAGATTTTCAGGGATCCAAGGTAATCAGGCAGAACCGCCCGCAATAATGAGTTACCACAAATTCTTCTTTTTGGAAATCTAGTCCCATCTCTGAAAGAGCCAGTTATACAGATTTACAGCTTAATCTGCAGTGATCTGCAACATGTTTGACAGAGCAATGCTGTAAGTTTTCTACATGAATGAAAATATGTAAATTAAGCTGTAAGTCTGTGTAATTAGTTCTTTCCGAGATGCTTTGCAGTAAATTGTGGTTGGAGGTTTCACCACAAAACCTTAGGGAAAAGTGAAAGTAACTGGAACTACTTTCTTTCTTTGTGGTTCCATGTTTTCATCCAATCTTTCCTCTCCCCATTACCCAACACATCTGGGAGGGAGAGAAGTACAGTGAGTCATCTCTTAAACATCCAGAGCCTATTTCACATTTCACACACTTTAAAAAAATTCACTATAGTATCAGCCACTACACCTTAGGGCACATGTGTCAGGCTCCAGTCCCTGTGGGCCGAAACTCTGCAGACTTCAGCACATTTCCACTTTAACCACAGCTGATTCAGCTCTTTCGCTTATTAGCAAGGCTTTGAACTGAATTCAGAGCGTCAGATGAGGGTAAACACTGATCTCCACAGCTTTTGGCCTGGAAGGTCTCCAGGTTGACATGCCTGCCTTAGAGTGTGTCCAATTTCTTCCATAAAGGTAAGAAAAAGTTCCCATATTTTCTTAACCTCTTACTGACCAGGGTATATTTTGGTTTGTCCTTCTGAATTTCCATGACCAAATCGTAAGGCAAGTTATTCAGTAACTGCGTGAAATAAATGTTCATTTTTATTTTATTTATTTTTTTTTAATAAAAGTTCCCCTCAAATTAACAGAACATGTGTTTTATGATACACATATTGCTATATGATTACAATTTACTGCTGAAAGCCAAAAATCTGAGACGCTCTTTGTATTATTTTATAAAAATAATGTTTACAGAGCAGATCACTGAAGAGACGCCATCTGTTTATAGTTTATAGCCCAGATTTGTGAAAAATGGGTCGACTTTCAGTAGAAAAAAAAACTGAGTTCAGCTTCTTTTATTATAAGAGTTTAAAATTACATCACCCATCTATTTGACTGGAAAGAAGACAGTTACAGCCTCATACGACCCCCACCTTTAGAATGAAGCTTATGAAATATGAAAGTTATGAAGAATGTGACGAAGTGCGTTTTGGACCACCGGTGGTCCCAAGGAGTGGAAAAGGTTAAAGGCACACAACATCCCTTTAATTGCATATACTTTTCTAATCCAATAGTTAGACCTAGCTCTTTTAACCAACGACTGATAGATGATGCCTTTGGGTTTTTCCATACAACAGCAACTCTGTGTTTTGCTTGCAACTAGTTATTTTTCTCAGTGCAGGACTAAGATTCTCTCTGGAAACACCAAGAACACATCATTTTGGGCATTCTGGTAACTTAAAGGGGAACTCCACTGTTTATAATATAATTTAGTGGTTAAGATGTAAACAGAGTCGTTCAGAGCGGTTTGGTTTCTAGAGAAACTCACCGAGTCAGAACTGTTCACAGTGGTGGTGATAGGAACCAGACGTCCACCTCTAAAAGCTCCTCACAGAAAGTTCCTACATGAGATGGTTATGAGGCAAATCAGTCCATCTCAAAAGACTTCTTTTTTTATTTGCAGATTCAGATAAAATTCAGAAGACACTTGTAGGTTCACTGGTGGCTTTAAATTGTGACCCCTGGTTCCTATCACCACCACTGTAAAGACATCTGAGTCTGTAAGTGTCTATAGAATGAACCATTTCACATCAAACCACTCTGAATGACTTTTTTTACATCTCAGTCCTTGAATTATGGAGAAATAAAAAAATCAGTGGAATTCTCCTTTAATTTCAGTACTACATGACAATAAATTAAGTACTTCCATCCAGAACCCTTTCATCTGTGGGCAGCCCCATAAGCAACGTATAGTGTTCTCTTCTCTTCATCACAGAAGGGCCTGGGTTCGATTCCCCGGCCGGGTCACCAGGATCCTTTCTGTGTGGAGTTTGCATGTTCTCCCTGTATTTCCTTCTGCCCAGTGAGCGCTGGGATAGGCTCCAACACCCCCTGCAACCCAGGAGGATAAGTGTCTTTGTGTGTGTGTTTGTTCTTTTCTATGTTCCTGGAAACATGTTGAAATCATTGCCTGTGGTGATCAGCCATACACTACACACACAGCAGGTAGAGAGCAGGTTGGAAAAACACTGGATTATCTTTTTAAACTAACCCACTGTAATCACGCTTTTGTAGCACAGTCACCTCGAGCAGCTAGCGTCAGTGCTGTAGTTGAGTGCTACTGAAATGTGGGGGTCACTGAGGGTCAGATGATGCTCTGCTGCTTTTTGTGCTAACTTAGCACTGAAACAGTTCTCTTCTCTGTGCTCTTCACTGCAGTGGCCCACGCGTCCCTGTTCATTCAGAACATCTCAGTGACCGTCTGCAGTATTGTGCTTATGTTAGTGTTCTCATACAAGAAGTGGATTGAACAAATCTGGGACGGCTGGTTAACTGTGAGTGACCGTTTACATTTTCTTTGCCCACTATATCATTCATACCGCCTTCTCTGTACAAACTAGTGCAGAGCAATATTGATAAAATGCAGATATTCTGGTGTACCAAATACATCACAGTATCATGGTATCATAAGATATTTACACCGATCAGCCATAACATTCTGACCACCTCCTCGTTTCTACGCTCATTGTCCATTTTATCAGCTCCACTTACTATATAGGTGCACTTTGTAGTTCTACAGTTACAGACTGTAGTCCATCTGTTTCTCTGATACTTTGTTAGCCCCCTTTTACCCTGTTCTTCAGTGGTCAGGACCCCCATGGACCCTCACAGAGCAGGTACTATTTGGGTGGTGGATCATTCTCAGCACTGCAGTAACACTGATGTGGTGGTGGTGTGTTAGTGTGTGTTGTGCTGGTGCGAGTGGATCAGACACAGCAGCGCTGCTGGAGTTTTTAAACACTGTGTCCACTCACTGTCCACTCTATTAGAGACTCCTACCTTGTCGCTCCACCTTGTAGATGTAAAGTCAGAGACGATAGCTCATCTGCTGCTGCACAGTTTGTGTTGGTCATCCTCTAGTCCTTCATCAGTGGTCACAGGATGTCCTGCATCTGAATAGTAAGTGGAGCTGATAAAGTGGACAATGAGTGTAGAAACAAGGAGGTGCTCATAATGTTATGGCTGATCGGTGTAAGTTAGCATTAATAAGTTAACACATTAGCAGTCATAAAGTTAGCCTTAATAAACGTAAGTCGGCAGAGTAAAGTAAATAATTAGCACTTTTAAAGTTATTAAATTACCATTAAATAAGTTATGAAGTTAGCATTAATAAAGTTAGTGAGAAAGTAAAGTTAAAGGTTGTTTTGATAGTTTTCCTCTCCATAGGGACCATGTCATTTATTTTTCACTTTATTTTGAATGGCTCTTGTAAAACAAAATAAAACCAACCAGCACATGACATAAATTGCAGTTAAGTTTCTTTAAATACTGCTGAAACTAAAAATGAGTATTGTATTGTGACACCGGTCTCAGTGTAGATTCTGTATCACTGAGCATTTCGATATACAGCATAAAAACAGTTTGAATGCATTGAGTGATTCTGCTGTATTTTACATGCTGTCAGTCCTGTCATTGTGTCTGTCCTGTAGTACAATGAGTAGTAACATGTCGCATCACATGACTCACTCAAGGTGGTTTGTTATACGGTGGTGATCGTCCTGGCAGATGTGGCTAACCTGGCCAGCACAGCGCTCACTATCGCCATCCAGAGGGACTGGATAGTGGTCATCACGGGTTATAACCGCGGCCACCTAGCAGGTAAGATTAGTGTCCTGGGGTTATTTCACAAATGACTAGTTGATCAGACAGATTGACCCAAAGTGAAGTCTCTCCAATAGAGAAGAGGCAAAGCGTTAATCTTAACTCTCAGCACAAGTTACCCAACCAACAAATCCAGCCCACACCTCATTCACATGCATTCAGAAATACTTCAGAATCACCAATCAAAGATTTATATTCTCTTTATATTCTCTCAAAAAACTACAGTCATAGTTCAAAAGTTTAGAATTATCACCCAAAAGTTCAGAATCACCGTTCAGAAGTTTAGAATCACCGTTCAGAAGTTTAGAATCACCATTCAGAAGTTTAGAATCACCATTCAGAAGTTTAGAATCACTGTTCAGAAGTTTAGAATCACCGTTCAGAAGTTCAGAATCACCATTCAGAAGTTTAGAATCACTGTTCAAAAGTTCAGAATCACTGTTCAGAAGTTTAGAATCACCGTTCAGAAGTTTAGAATCACCATTCAGAAGTTTAGAATCACTGTTCAAAAGTTCAGAATCACTGTTCAGAAGTTCAGAATCACTGTTCAAAAGTTCAGAATCACTGTTCAGAAGTTCAGAATCACTGTTCAGAAGTTCAGAATCACTGTTCAGAAGTTCAGAATCACTGTTCAGAAGTTCAGAATCACTGTTCAGAAGTTTAGAATCACTGTTCAGAAGTTCAGAATCACTGTTCAGAAGTTTAGAATCACTGTTCAGAAGTTCAGAATCACTGTTCAAACATTTATAGTCACTGAATTATCGTGTGTTCTTGGCGACAGTGCAAACTATTTACAGCTGTGAACGTTTTGCACGTGGACACTGATCCTCCCTTTGTTATAACAGGGATGAATGCCACCATGCGGCGGATTGATCAAGTGACCAACATCCTGGCGCCGCTGGCTGTGGGCCAGGTCATGACCCTGGCCTCTAACGTGGTGGGCTGTGGCTTCATCCTGGGCTGGAATCTGGTCTCCCTGATCGTGGAGTTCATCTTCCTGTCCCGAGTTTACCGCATCGTCCCTGCGCTGTCCGTCAAACCGCCGGCTACAGAGGAGCAGAACTACCTGGAGAAGAAGAGGGAAAGGAAGAGCTCGCAGGGTAAAGAGTGCACTCTGACACGCTCACTCCAACTCGCTCACTCCAACACGCTCACTCCAACTCGCTCACTCCGACTCGCTCACTCCGACTCGCTCACTCCGACACGCTCACTCCGACACGCTCACTCCAACATGCTCACTCTGACACACTCACACCAACACACTGACTCTAAAAAGCTCACTCTAACACGCTCACTCTTATACGTTCACTCCAACACGCTGACTCTAACACGCTCACTCCAACACGCTCACTCTGATACGCTCACTCCAACATGCTCACTCCAACACGCTCACTCTAACATGCTCACTCTGACACGCTCACTCTAACACAGTCACTCCAACATGCTCACTCCAACACGCTCACTCTAACACAATCACTCTAACATGCTCACTCTGACATGCTCACTCTCACACAATCACTCAAACACGCTCACTATAACACAATCACTCCAACAAGCTCAATTCAACACGCTCACTCTAACATGCTCACTCTAACACAATCACTCCAACACGCTTACAGGAACTCTGATGTTTATCTGCTGTGTCTGTAGGGTACAGTCAGTTATCATGGACAATAACTTAACCACGTTTCCCTGAACTCAGAAAACAGCACCCTAAACTCACTATAATAGGAGTCTGCTGTATAAACTCACTATAATAGGAGTCTGCTGTATAAACTCACTATAATAGGAGTCTGCTGTATAAACTCACTATAATAGGAGTCTGCTGTATAAACTCACTATAATAGGAGTCTGCTGTATAAACTCACTATAATAGGAGTCTGTTGTATAAACTCACTATATAGGAGTCTGCTGTATAAACTCACTATAATAGGAGTCAGCTGTATAAACTCACTATAATAGGAGTCTGCTGTATAAACTCACTATAATAGGAGTCTGCTGTATAAACTCACTATAATAGGAGTCTGCTGTATAAACTCACTATAATAGGAGTCAGCTGTATAAACTCACTATAATAGGAGTCTGCTGTGAATAAACATTAGAAAAGTGTGACTGTATGAGGTGAATATGAAGCTCCAACCATTCCACTAACAGTGCAGGTGTCTGAGAGAACATCTCACCAACACTGTCCTTATGAACTTTATACAGCTTTCTTCTTCTCTATGCTGCTTTGGATGTACACTTGTTCTTTTGGAAAGATTTAAAAATGATTTACAGCTTTAATATTTTTACTCTACTCAGTTTGTTAAATCGTCTCATTTTTGCCTGCATCTCTACTCGGAGCCTCGGCCAGCCTTTTTCAGTATATCTACAACAGCGTGTTCGGCGGTAGTTTGAATTATACCACGGAGTTTAATGTTTGCTGTGAGCAGATGTTGTGTGGGTGTTTGAATGAACCTTGAAATTAAATTTTCCCCTTATAACATTTATGTGGGTTTATCTACCAAAAGCCCTCATAATTCATTACTATTATTATATATGACCAGAAACTGGTCATATAATAACTATCATATTTCCAGCCTCTATTTATGCCTTAGAATTAACCAGGCTGTTTATCTTTCTGTGCCTTTAAGGGGAAGTCCACCGATTTTTCAACATTTCTTTATAATCCAGTGGCTGAGATGTAAACAGAGTCATTCAGAGTGGTTTGATGTGAAACTTACAGACTCAGATGTCTTTACAGTGGTGGTAATGGGAATGTCTACAACACAGATTAGTAACATCAGGCAGTGAATTCATAACCATTTCATGTAGGAAATGTTCACATCTTAACCATTTAATAATGCAGTTCACATCTTAACCATTTAATAATGCAGAAATTTTGAAAAATTGACAGAGTTCCCCTTTAAGACTGACATTTGTCAATGAACTATATTCTGATTGGCTGTTATATGTTGTGCCTTGTTCAAAAAAGCAGTCTGGGCTCAAACAATCCTTATAACTTCAGTGTGGGTGGGTGGAGTTAAGCTGGTGTGGACTGAACAGGCATATATGTGTAAATGTGTGACGTCACAAAATTTTGAAATCAGAACAGGTTGTTTTTGAGACTTACTTTCCATATATGGACTGTATGGGCTGGGGAGTGGACAGCACATCTAGATCAAACTCTTATTTTATAAAATCAATCAAAACATTGCTGATTTGCGATTGTATTTTTAATTAGTTGAAAAGAATATCGCAGTCACAGTATGTAGCGAGATAACTGCAATATAGTTATAGTTTATATAGTATACATGGTATTTAGTTTGGCCCTAATAATTGTACTAATATTGTATCTCTGTGACTCAGGTGAGAGTTCCTTAAGGCCAGCAGTGTTCCTCACAGAAGACATGGGAGGAGCGTGTTCGAGAGAGCGGACCTCCATGCTGCCCCCGTGCCTCCGTCGGCTTCGTGGGCTCCTCAGCACCTGCAGGGAAGGCTGGAGGGCGTATTACAGGCAGCCTGTGTTCCTGGCAGGTTTGGGCTTGGCCTTCCTGTACACCACGGTGCTGGGCTTCGACTGCATCACCACAGGCTATGCCTACACCCAGGGCATCAGCGGCTCCCTGCTGAGCCTGCTGATGGGCGTTTCAGCTGTGGCCGGCCTACTGGGAACCGTCCTGTTCACCAAGTTGCGCAAAGCCTACGGGCTGGTCAACACTGGTATGATCTCCAGCTGCCTGCACCTGGCCTGCCTGCTCTTGTGCGTGTGCTCTGTGTTCGCTCCAGGCAGCCCCATGGACCTGGGCGTGCTAACACAGGGTAATGGGTCAGGTGCGGGAGGGATGACCGGAGGAGGACACCAAAGACATGGATACACGCTACAGGGAGGCAACAACCAGCCTTTACTTCCTGACCGCTCTTCCATTCACTGGACCAACAACACTGTGCTATTTGAAAACGCACCAGCAGGGAGCGTACCTGAGTCCTACATGTCCATCACCCTGCTGTTTCTTGGAGTCATCACGGCTCGAATCGGTGAGCAGAGTCATTATCCAGTCCATTTGTTTCGCCTTGCAGTTTTCCAGCTCAGTGTGTGAGCCAATCAGGAGCAAACTGCCACTGACCGGCCTGGACTTAGTCCTACAACAACAGAGGCTCTCAAACAATAACGACCATAACAATGCACCCATTCAGCTGCACAATGTGTACACGTACCACGCTCTCTGTTAGTAAACCCAGAGCTAATCCTGGAGTTGCCATGGTACAGTTTCATTAGCGTCCACAGGGGTGGTAGTGATGAGGTGCGGGTGGTGCCTCTATCCCTATCACTGACTCTTTTGATTTAAAATTAAACAGAATATTTTTTGGACAAAATGCCTAAAATGAGATGTGCAAAACATACAAACCCCAAGAGAGCAGGCAGTATGGCTATTTTATAATTTACAAACAGCATGTTGGTGTGGGTGTCCTTCTTTAAAAACATCTGAGTTAAGCTGCTTTGATTTGAGTTGTTTCCCAGAAGCGCCACTTTATTAATTATTTGCATTTATTGGAATCAGAATCAGAACCAAGCTTTGTTGGTCAGGTTTGCTTACACAAACAAGGAATTTGGTTTTGTTGGTTTTTTCCTTTGTTGGCTACAGTCGGTACAGGCAGAATTTTATGGGCTACAGTCGGATTCAGACGGAATTTTGTGGGCTACAGTCGGTACAGACAGAATTTTATGGGCTACAGTCGGTTCAGACAGAATTTTGTGGGCTACAGTCGAGTTCAGACAGAATTTTGTGGGCTACAGTCGAGTTCAGACAGTATTTTGTGGGCTACAGTCGAGTTCAGAGAGAATTTTATGGGCTACAGTCGAGTTCAGACAGAATTTTGTGGGCTACAGTCGGTTCAGACAGAATTTTGTGGGGCCACAGTCGGTTCAGACAGAATTTTGTGGGCTACAGTCGAGTTCAGACAGAATTTTGTGGGGCTACAGTCGAGTTCAGACAGAATTTTGTTGGCTACAGTCGGTTCAGACAGAATTTTGTGGGGCCACAGTCGGTTCAGACAGAATTTTGTGGGCTACAGTCGGTTCAGACAGAATTTTGTGGGCTACAGTCGGTTCAGACAGAATTTTGTTGGCTACAGTCGGTTCAGACAGAATTTTGTGGGCTACAGTCGGTTCAGACAGAATTTATGGGCTACAGTCGGGTTCAGACAGAATTTTGTGGGGCTACAGTCGGTTCAGACAGAATTTATGGGCTACAGTCGAGTTCAGACAGAATTTTGTGGGCTACAGTTGGATTCAGACAGAATTTTGTGGGGCTACAGTCGGTTCAGACAGAATTTATGGGCTACAGTCGGGTTCAGACAGAATTTTGTGGGCTACAGTCGAGTTCAGACAGAATTTTGTGGGGCTACAGTCGAGTTCAGACAGAATTTTGTGGGCTACAGTCGGTTCAGACAGAATTTTGTGGGGCCACAGTCGAGTTCAGACAGAATTTTGTTGGCTACAGTTGGATTCAGACAGAATTTTGTGGGGCTACAGTCGGTTCAGACAGAATTTATGGGCTACAGTCGGGTTCAGACAGAATTTTGTGGGGCTACAGTCGAGTTCAGACAGAATTTTGTGGGCTACAGTCGAGTTCAGACAGAATTTTGTGGGCTACAGTCAGTTCAGACAGAATTTTGTGGGGCTACAGTCGAGTTCAGACAGAATTTTGTGGGCTACAGTCAGTTCAGGCAGAATTTTGTGGGGCTACAGTCGGTTCAGACAGAATTTTGTGGGCTACAGTCGGTTCAGACAGAATTTTGTGGGCTACAGTCGAGTTCAGACAGAATTTTGTGGGCTACAGTCGGATTCAGACAGAATTTTGTGGGCTACAGTCGGATTCAGACAGAATTTTGTGGGGCTACAGTCGGATTCAGACAGAATTTTGTGGGCTACAGTCGGATTCAGACAGAATTTTGTGGGGCTACAGTCGGATTCAGACAGAATTTTGTGGGCTACAGTCGGATTCAGACAGAATTTTGGGGGCTACAGTCGGTTCAGACAGAATTTTGTGGGGCTACAGTCGGATTCAGACAGAATTTTGTTGGCTACAGTCGGATTCAGACAGAATTTTGTGGGCTACAGTCGGATTCAGACAGAATTTTGTGGGCTACAGTCGGTTCAGACAGAATTTTGTGGGCTACAGTCGGTTCAGACAGAATTTTGTGGGCTACAGTCGAGTTCAGACAGAATTTTGTGGGCTACAGTCGGATTCAGACAGAATTTTGTGGGCTACAGTCGGATTCAGACAGAATTTTGTGGGGCTACAGTCGGATTCAGACAGAATTTTGTGGGCTACAGTCGGATTCAGACAGAATTTTGTGGGGCTACAGTCGGATTCAGACAGAATTTTGGGGGCTACAGTCGGTTCAGACAGAATTTATGGGCTACAGTCGGGTTCAGACAGAATTTTGTGGGCTACAGTCGAGTTCAGACAGAATTTTGTGGGCTACAGTCGGTTCAGACAGAATTTTGTGGGCTACAGTCGGATTCAGACAGAATTTTGTGGGCTACAGTCGGATTCAGACAGAATTTTGTGGGGCTACAGTCGGTTCAGAGAGAATTTTGTGGGCTACAGTCGGTTCAGACAGAATTTTGTGGGCTACAGTCGGATCAGACAGAATTTTGTTGGCTATAGTCGGATCAGACAGAATTTTGTGGGCTATAGTCGAGTTCAGACAGAATTTTGTGGGCTATAGTCGAGTTCAGACAGAATTTTGTGGGGCTACAGTCGGTTCTATATATTTAAGAAGTGCAGTTTGAATGTTGTTTATGTAATTATGTATGTAATTAATATTTTAACTGTTCAAGAGAGTGATGGCTTGTGGGAAGAAGCTACTCTGTAGCTTCTCTGTAGGAGGAGCCCCTCCTCCTAGAGTTGTTAATTTAAAACCCAAAATTTTAGCTGGGCTTAAATTTTTAATCTGGGCTTAAATTTTTAGTCTGAACCCAATTATAGCACCAGAATATAGTCCCCAAGTCCAACAGTATTCTGTCTGAACCGACTGTAGCCCCACAAAACTCCGTCTGAACCGACTGTAACCCACAAAACTCCGTCTGAACCGACTGTAACCCACAAAACTCCGTCTGAACCGACTGTAGCCCACAAAATTCCGTCTGAACCGACTGTAACCCACAAAACTCCGTCTGAACCGACTGTAGCCCACAAAATTCTGTTTGAACCGACTGTAGCCCATAAAATTCCGTCTGAACCGACTGTAACCACAAAATTCCGTTTGAACCGACTGTAACCCACAAAACTCCGTCTGAACCGACTGTAGCCCACAACATTTTGTCTGAACCGACTGTAGCCAACAAAATTCTGTCTGAACCGACTGTAGCCCACAAAATTCCGTCTGAACCGACTGTAGCCCATAAAATTCCGTCTGAACCGACTGTAGCCCACAAAATTCCGTTTGAACCGACTGTAACCCACAAAATTCCGTTTGAACCGACTGTAACCCACAAAATTCTGTCTGAACCGACTGTAGCCCATAAAATTCTGTCTTAAACCAGATAAAATTCATTGAGTTAAACTCAATTAACCTGCTTTAAACGTTCCTCATAACCATACTAAGCTCTTCTCTTCTCTGCAGGTCTCTGGTCGTTTGACCTGACGGTGACCCAGCTGCTGCAGGAGACCATCTGCGAGTCCGAGCGCGGTGTGGTTAACGGAGTTCAGAGCTCCATGAACTACTTGATGGACCTTCTGCACTTCCTCATGGTCATCTCAGCGCCGCAGCCGCAGCACTTTGGCATTCTCGTCATCGTCTCCGTCCTGTTCATCACCACGGGGCACACCATGTACTTCATGTACGCCCGGAAGGCCAAGAGGAAACAGCGTCTCAACACGTAAACACCACATACCTGTAACAGACAGTGCGACGTATAAAGGTGCAGATTCTGTCCCCAGCACGTGAAATGGACGTGTGTCCCTCCGTGTGATCCACACCGAACCGTACACAGTCTCATCTGCAACTCACTTCACCGCTCTCCATTTCCTAACGCCTGTCTCTGTGCCTTCTACCAGTTCAGCCACAGCTCCAAACCTCAGGTGAACTACAGCAGAAACAGCACCTCCTGCTGGGCGTCTAGGGAAGCATGTGTTGGCATTCTGAGGCCTTCTGAGGTCTCCAGAGGTCACAGGTGCCTTTCAGCTCGCAGCAGCCGACCCAAACAGCAGCAAAAGGCAAAAGCAGACAAGAAGAAAAGCTTCACATCTGCTGATGTTGAACCGTCTCAGCTGCACTGTGAAGGGACGTTGCAACAAAGCCCTGCCTGAACAGCAGAAAACCTTCTTCTTTCTGCGATGGTTTCTCAGCAGATAAGTGGGACATGGTCCTCATCACTCAACCTCAATCAGCCTTAAAGCGTCTGATGTTAAATATCATCCATTACCAAGGGAACGATATTCATCAGTCAAACTCTAAAGGATGGAACCTCTTCTTTAAGAATACAGGGTGCATTCCAATCACGTCAAGCTCAGATCAATAGTTTGCACATTATGTTTCTTTTCCCCCAAATGCAGCTCAACAGACAAGACACACTTTTCTCTGAAGCTATGAGGCTAATGTGCTAAAGTACATTACTGTTTGAGAGCTTGGAATCACTGTCATATTAATAATTTGTGTTATTTTTGTTATATTTATTCAGCGTAGGATAAAATGTTATTAGTCACCAAACTGCATTTCATAGTTGCTGTATTCAATATTTCTCATATCTTGGTAAAATATTTATCATTTCGTCACGTTACCGACGTCAGGATTTTATCTATTAACCTGGCAGTTAATGAGGCAGTTTGGGTAATTATTTTATTAGAACTCAGAATATTCTGCATGTTAATTTTTATCAGAACTTCATTACATCTTAATTTCATTAGTGCTTCATTATATCTTAATTTCATTACAGCTACATATATCAATTTTACTATTCTGGATATTTATATTACGGAATTTTAACGTTATTAGAGCTTCATTCTGCATATTAATTTCATTCAAATTTAATTGCAGATATTAAGTTTATCAGAAATCCATTCTAGATATAAATTTTAGTTAATTTTAAATGATTTTATTAACTTTATTCTAAACATTTTGCAGCTTTTACTTTATACACTGATCTGGTGGAGGCTTATACCGCACTAATTAGCGTCAGGAAATCATCACATCAGCCTCTAACCGTGTGGGCTTGTTCAGGAATCTCTAACGGACTTGATTATAGGGTTGCAAATTCACTGTCAAGCCACTGCAACTGCTGTTTTAGCTTCGCAATGTGCTTTCAATGTACGCATGCTGTTAGCACCATGCTAATTGGTGGGGTTTAGGCTTCCATCACTTGTTCGCTACATTCAGGGTTCGGTTTTAAAATTCCATATTTTTTCAGACTCAAATTTCCAGACTTCTCCGTAGATCTTTTAGACCTTTATCAACCTTGGAAAACTTTTCATTACTCACTGTGGCCGTTCAGTCCACACTCCTAGGAAGTTGGATGACGATCCACCATCGAACATCTCTGTCCAAAACTGAAGTAAACTAACATATTCGTCAGCCTCTTTTATAAATAAGGACTTAAGTTGAAAAAGTTAAATTACACTAATTTTCACAGCGTCTGTGCGACCTTATTTATTCCATAAACAGTGATGATGAACGCAGCCATGTGGTTCATTAATGCAGAAAAGATAGTCTGTTCTCTTTTACGTTAACTACATCACTGTGTAACTCATACATGTTCAGACAAGCTTAATATTTGGTCATTTGTGATGTTGTTTATGTCGCTGCTGTCAGAACAAAACTTGTATCTCCAAAAAGGAAACTTTACCGGAGAAGGAAAAACATTCTTAACTTTTAATAGAAGTGATAAAAATAATTATGAGATATTTTTTTCCAAGTAATTTTGGAGCATCTCTGTTAAACCGTTAATCATGAAATTGTGAGACATCACAATAAAATGGAGCGGTTTTGTCCTGACAGCAACGATATGCAAATTACAAGATATTACCGCATTTTCTTTCAAAGTAAAGTGAAGTTTAGTCACACAACATATTCTTACCTCGCTTTCCATGACGTCAGGCTCGCTCTGGGCTGCGTAGTGTTGCCAACTACGTTCAAAGGAAAGCAGCTAAAGCCTGCTGGAAAAGCTAGATGACACCATGTGCTCATTATCATATTTGTGACATCATCACATCATATTTGCATTCTGCCTGTGGTCAGCCTGTTACATCCGGGTTCTGCTCTCCTGCTGCTCTCATTTACATATTCCTCTGTTCTGTTGTCAGTGGGATGAGTAAGAAACTGGGACCTGTTTACTGCTGGTCACTCCATGTGTCCAGTATCTGGATTGTATCCTGATAAGATTTCAGCCACATGCACAAAGTACTGCATGGGGAGTGGTTTTGGTTGTACTGGGAAGATTTTAGTTGTGATGGGAGGAGCTTCGGGTTGTGCTGGGAGGGATTATGATGGTACTGGGAAGAGTTTTGGTTGTACTGGAAGGAGTTTTGACTGTACTGGGTGGGGTGTTGGTTGTACTGGGTGGAGTTTCGGTGGTACTAGTAGAAGTTTTGGTTGCACTGGGAGGTGTTTTGGTGGTACTGGGAGAAGTCTAGGTTGTACTAGGAGGAGTTTTGGTGGTACTGGGAGGAGTTGTGACTGTATTGGCGGAGTTTTCTTGTACTGGGAGGGGTTTTGGTTGTACTGGGAGGGGGTTTGGGTGTACTGGGAGGAGTTTCGGTTGTACCGGGAGGAGTTTCGGTTGTACCGGCAGGAGTTTTGGTTGTACTGGGAGGGGTTTCGGTTGTACTGGGAGGGGTTTCAGTTGTACTGGGTGGGGTTTCTGTTGTACTGAGAGGAGTTCTGTTTGTACTGGGGGGAATTTTGTTTGTACTGGGAGGAGTTTCAGTTGTACTGGGAGGAGTTTTGGTTGTTGAATGTATCTTGGAGAGACAGATGTGTTTACGCTGCTGTATCGTGACTCAGATGCGTCTCAGTCCACCTCCTGAAGTGGTTTGAGTGATCAGATCTGTATCTGCTTTAATGCCTCTCGGCTGCGTTTACACTCACATTTTTATGTGCTTTGTCAAGACACATGAAGTGACCAGTTGTAAACAGGTCAGTGACTGAAATATGACCAATTCAGACTTTATGTTAACCAGCATCACTTCCAAGCTGCGATTCTGGCTATATTTCCATATGAAATGGTCACTCAGAGAGGAAGTTAGAAGCGACAGAATATCTTTCTTATTCTTCCTCTCACACAGCGCACAGCCTCAGTCTGACTAACCAACCACATGTTGGACGTTCTGTTTTCAGCATGATGGTGAGTGATGAGACAGTGATGATGGTCAAATTAAGCTGTTTAAATAACAACACAGGAGGATCGGACAGTACAGATCAGTGATTAGTGCTCAGAAACACTGTTTACACACGCAGCTCGTTCACGTCTGTGTGAGCAGCCATGCAGACTGAATGTGCTGCTCTGCCTCTCCACCGTTCATGTTCACAGGCAGTTATCTAGAACCTCTAGAAGGACTGAAGAGTTCATTTGCAAAACAGATATCTCCATTTTAATGAATTTTCATAAATGTTTTTTATTGTGCATTCCCGGTAATATCAATCAAACTGCAGTTTTGATTAAGTAAAAATGACTCAATTTCATTTCATGTTTCAGAGTTAAAGCCATATAATGGACACAAGTTCCTATAAGGTCACTATTTAACATCTTTACTATAAAACAAGCAGGTAAAGATCTGAAAACTGATCACAAACAGCCGATAATGATCAATTTTAATCATCTATAAGATCAGATCTCTGAAAATCCTCAGGCTGAGTCTCAGACGCCTCACTGCTCCCTAAATAGTCACTATGAGTTATGAAATTTAGTCTTTTCCACCCAAATATTGGTCTGTGTCCAGTATGAATCGTCTCTGATGGCTGAATCCAGAGTGGTTCTCTGTGAGACTCTGAGCTCTGTTTAGATCAGTAGCTGTTAGTTTAAGACCTGTGTGCTGCTCTGTAGAAGAAGGAGTCGTTTGAGATTCTGCCTCAAACAGTCGGCGCCAGTGCTGAGTCACCTGACTCAAATACTGCGCGCTGATTGGCTGAACAGATTTCTGGGGTTCTGCTGGAGAACAGTGCTGGAGTTTGAGGTGTTTATTCTCACTCTACTCAACAATCTGATGAAAATCTCTGTTTACATGCTCACTACAAGTAATCAGATCCAAAATGACGCTCATGCATAGAGAACCACTTAGTGTAGACGTTACCATGACAACCAGCATCACGTGAGTCCAGTCAGAGTGAGATGAGCAGCAGTGAGCAGCGCTTGTGTTTTTAACTGCTTTAAAATGATGTCAGACTCAGGAAAACGTCCTTCACATGTCCTTATTAAAGAAGGCCGAGAGGAAGACGTTGTGTTCTGAGACGTCCGTCCCACCGCCGTCTTTTAAAGATCAGAGCATAAACTTCGTCTCCTCTGCAGACCAGTTTCTGCTCCGCCATGTTGAACGGTATAAACTCTCACTACGACGTGACGAACATGATCAGAACGGACTTAAACTTTCCGATAGGGAATGTAATCAGATACAGGCGTTTACACGGATATTATTCTTCTATTTAACAGATTATTTACAGGATTACCCACCTCGATCAGTCTGGTAGAAACTGTATTCTGAATGGCCTCAATCGGACTAGACTATTCTACTGAGGTGTTTACATGGACGCATTCTATTCCTATTGAGCTATTAGTCAGATTTTCAGTGGAGACTAGTGGTAAACATTTTGGCTGCTGCTCCAAATTCCATCTGCTTGTATGGTCAAATTATTTTTAGAAATACTGCATTTTATATTTTAGAAAGCAGGACAGGAAGTCTGGAAACACTCTCTCTTCTATTTTCCCATAATCATCCATACTTATCCATGCTTTTCCGTACTGTACAAGAACCCTGTACTTTAGCCTTGTAGCTCCAGAGCTAAAACTAAAGAAGCAAACACGTCTCAGCTGATCTACTGCACTCTTAAAAAGAACCATGTACACTCAAAGAACACTGTGCACGATTAAAGGGTTCTTTGCATCATGAAAAGGTTCCTCAGATTGATAGAGAATGTGCATGAATGTGCTACAGCACCCAAAAGGGTTCTTTATTGTAACAAGCTGGACACCATAACAATAGAAGAACTCTTTTGGGCACTATATAGAACAGCTTTCATCTACAGCACATTCTCCATCAATCAGAAGAACCATTTAATTAATGATGCAAGGAACCCTTTAATCATACAAAGGGTTCTTTGGGTGTACATGGTTCTATATAGAACCATTTTCTTAACTAAGGAACCCTTGAAGAACCACCATTTTTCAGAGTGTGCATTTGGGGGAGAGATTTGACTAATTAGACTAAATATGACATTTTGCTGAACTGTCACTTTAAGATTTCCTTCCAATAAAGCCGTTTATGAAAACTGAGCTTGAGCTGCTGCTCATCTTCAGCTCCTCAGTCAGCAGCTTTAAATCACGCGTCTTGCGTAAGATGTTTATGCGACAGCACTGTTTACATAACAGTGGACTCGTCTCACCACTTCAACCAAACTGCTTCCTTGAAGTCCCAGCAGATGAAAACAGAACTTACCTCAACACCAACCGTGAGCTTCTGGACTCTCCAGCTCGACCCTCCTCTGTGACAGTCACTGACGAGAAGCCCGACTGCGCAGAGTGCAGAGAGTTCACGGTGCCTGTGTGTGACATCACAACCATGGAGATTCCATTCCCATCACTTCTCTGCAATCACAGCATCCTCTTCGGCTGATGTGCTGATCCAGCTGTTTTGGAATGTTTCTTGGTCTTTTTCAGTGTCTGGCACTTCTCTGAGGCGATCATTAAAATGCTCTCATTCTCAACTCTCAGTCTGCTTATCATTCCTCTCCTTTAGTCCTGAGTTAAGATCTTTTAGGTCAAGATTAGATTTTCACTAATTCATATTACAGAATATCTGATCTCCCAGCATCTAATCTCCAGTTAGGAAATCTTAACTACTCAATCAAAGTCGACAAACAGCTGTCCTGTCTGTTGCCTAGCAACCGAGCATAAACACACACAGCTGAAATGTAAACACGTCATCAGAATAATGTTAAAATGTGAGTTAAGCTGCTGTTACTGATGTAAAGAAGGTCAAACAGAACTATTTGTGACAAGTGTGATAAACTGTAAGTAGTGAATACTGTGAGAGCGCCCCCTGCTGTTTATCAGAGCGTTGCCGCTCCCCAGTCTCCATTTCTCAAACGCTTTCATATATACATCATACATGGGTGAAACCATCCCAGTAAAGTTATAACTGGTATTATTATTGTCTCTTTGTTTTTAAACATTCAATTATTTAAAGCAACACTATGTATGATTTGGGGATTTGGAGCCCTCTCTGGTGGAAATATGTAATTACATGAAATGTGCAGAAGAACATTCTGTAATGTTGGTTGTGCTTCGGACCCCCACGAGCAGAGCAATCTGACTTTTGTGAGTGAGCTGGAAGAGAATTGAGTCTAAACTCGGTGAAGCAGCGTCTCTGAGGATGAGAGTGAATTATCTACTACTGTCATCACATCTTCATCAGCATGAAGTTGATTCTGAGATCATTTGAGGCCGAAACATCGAGCCGGACCTTCATTTAGAGTCTGAGTGATGTTAATACGTAAAGACGTACGACGTGGTGTGAAAAACTCAACGCCTCTGACTTTAAATGATTATGTCAGGCTTCACAGGCGACTCACCGCAGCAGCAGCTCACCGTGTTTTAGTGTGTTCTTTATTCCATACGCAGTAATGATGGGTCAAATGGTCTTTTTTCAGCATGGTTTGTTAATAAAGGTGAAATTTTGAAAAAGCTTTTTTAAAAGCATGTTTTATACTGTTCAAAAGGATTTTTTAATAAAAATTGCACACTTCTAAAAAAATGGTAATAATTTGTGCACATTAGGGTCAAATGGCCGGCACTGTGCATGCTAACGAATCACTGAATCATCCCTGAACGAAAATGAACCACTGAATCGGACCCTCGAACCGAGCACATGTGACGTGCGTGGTCACGTGACGTTACCTTTCTTAGCAACGTGGCCACTCCTTTATTTACTCACGTGCGGGTCATTCAGCCGTTTTAAGCAGCCCTGGTAGTTTTTATAAGTAGTTCATAGTTGGGTAATAAATTTTGGACTCATTTGAGGTTTTTTGCTGCGCGGTCATTGGGCAGGTGAGGCAGGTGAGGCAGGTGAGGGAGGCGGAAGAGGCTTGAGTTAAACAAAGGAGACAGGCAGTGAGCGGCGTCGTGTTTGGTGTCTGTGAATGGACCCAATGGATTAAAGGTGAGGTGACCACCTCAGTCTGGACAGTGTGGACATGACGATGGTGGAAGAGAGTCCGTCCTCCTCAGGGTCCTCAGGGAGGAGCGGCTTGCTGAGCTGGCGCTGGAGCTGGAGTCCAGTAAGACCAGTAAGAGAAGATAAAGATGGAGAAGCCGGGCTGGGCTCACCCGCCCTCCCCAAACGCGGCTCACCGCTGAAAAAGAAGAGTTTTGAAGCTGTAAGTTTGGTTCTTTTTTACAGTTTTCCGTTCCACCTTAAATGGTGCAGCAGTTACATTCTGGCGCCTCAGGCATCAGACCTGCTGCACCATTTAAGGTGGAACGGAAAATTCAGCCGTTTTCTCGCACATGTTCGGCTGAGTCTTTGCCGACTGACTCACTGACCACACTGAACCCCAATAAGACGTGGTTCTTTATTAATAACTGGTGAGAACGTGTAGAAACAGGGTCTGTGTTTGCGAAGTTCACAGAGTTTGCCTGACTGACTGAAACTCCAGTTCAGCTCATTCATCCATCCGACCCGCTCAGTGAGTCACGCAGGACCTGTTCGGCGAGGTTACAGCCTGAGAGGCGAAGCAGAGACGCTGTTTCTGGGTCGGTCAGGTCGATGAAGTTGATGTTGATATAATAATAAGACTCTGTGTTGAAGTTATGATCGCTCTGCTGTTTGAGTTACAGGTAAACTAACCCTAAAGGACAGACTTATTGCTCAGCTACGACTATGAAGGCATAACTCTTCACTATTCAGTGTCTACTATGAATTATTCAGTATTATGCCATTAATTATTAAATATCTACTGTGAATTAGTCAGTGACTACTGTTAATTATTCAGTAACTACTATAATTTTCTTTGAATGCTTCCTACATGATGAATTATGAATAATTTACTAAATGCTATGAATAATTCAGTATCTACTGTGAATAATTCAGTATCTACTGTGGATTATTCAGTAACTACTCTAATGTTCTGTAGTATGAACTATGAATTATCATAAATTATTTACTAAATGCTATGAATTATACAGCAGCTACCATAAATTATTCGGCACATTATTCATAAGTTATTTAGTACTTTGCTAAATTTCTTTCGGGATCAATAAAGTATCTATCTATCTATCTATCTATCTATCTATCTATCTATCTGTCTATGAATATATATATTATAAATTATGCAGTATCTGCTAAAAATGGTTCAGTATGAATTATTTAGTATCTACTATGAATTATTCAATATCTACTTCAAATTTGCAGTATCTGCTGGAACTTATTCAGTGTTTAGTATGAAATATTTAGAAAGTACTTTACATTTTTAAGTACCTTCTATGATATATTCCAAAACTACTATAGACTATCCAGTATATACTGTTAATTATTCAACATCTAAGATTAATTGTTCAGTATCAACTTTTAACGAGTCAGTATTTACTATGAATTAATCAGTACATTACCATATATTTGTTAGAAATTCCTGATGTTGATTACTATTAAATATAGTATATGTAACTGCTTTTGAATTGTATATGCAGTCATATGCAAAAGTTTTGGCACCCCAGCCAACTTGTGTGTTTTGTCAATTTATATGTACGTACACACACGGTGGATATAAAAAGTCTACACACCCCTGTAAAAATGACTTTGTGATGTGGAAAGAAAAGAAACATAAGTCATTTTCCTACCTTCAATGTGAAATTCCATTTCAAACTACTAAATACTGTGGAAAACAATCAGACATATTTTATGGTAATAACTTACAGTAACCTGGTTGTGTAAGTTTGCACACCCCTAAACTAATACTTTGCAGAAGCAACTTTTAATTTTATTACAGCGCTCAGTCTTTTTAGTTGAGAGTCTGTCGGCTTTAACGCATCTTTACTTGGCAAATGGCACAATGCTGCCACCACCATGCTTCACTGTGGGTACTGTGTTCTGCAAGCATGTCGTTTTTTGTGCCAACCATGCCATTTGGATCTATTGCCACAAAATTAAACAATAATAATAATAATAATAATAATAATAATAATATTTATTATTATTATTATTATTATTATTATTATTATTATGTTGTTGTTATCACATGAAGCTTAAAGCGCTTTTCCAAAACCAAAGATGGAAAGGGATGGGGAATTGGGGAAGGTAGGCAGAGAAAAAGGTTGTTTTGAGATTAGATTTGAAAGTGGGGAGAGAATCAGACCTGCTGGACCCTAAGAGGGTGAAGGTTTCAGAGGAGAGGAGCAGATTTTGAGAATGCTCTATCGCTGACGCTGTGGGGGTTTGATGAAGGAGTAGTGAGGAGCCTGACTGAGGAAGACCTAAGAATACAAGATCAGAGGGAGCGAGGCTGTTAAGAGCTTTTTAAGTGAGGAGCAGGATTTTGAAATGTCTACGATACTTTATGGGAAGCTGGGGGAGGTTTTGGAGAACAAGGGTGATGTGATGATGTGCCCAGGTATGAGTGAGAAGATGGGCAGCAGAGCTCTGGACCATCTGGAGCTTGTGAAGAGAAGAGGAGCCAATTCCAGAGAGAGGAGAGTTGCAGTAGTCCTGGAGATGAAGGCGTAGATAAGAGTTTGGGCAGCAGACTGAGGCTGGATGTGTCTTCATGTCTGGGCTTGGACGTGTTTGTTTGTGAGAAAAGACATTTTACCCCGAAGCCCACACGGATGAAGAATACGGGACATTGTTGTCACATGTAGGAGCAACCAGTACTTGCCAAAAAATTCCTGCACCTCCTTTCAAGTTGCCGTGGGCGTCTTGGCAGCCACTCTGACCAGTTTTCTCATCAGTTTTGGAGGAATGTCCTGTTCTAGATATCACTGTTATGCCGTATTTTCTCCACTTGACGATTGTCCTGTCTCTGTTAATTTTTAATGTCTTTTTTTATTTTATTTATTTATTTATTTTTTTATTTCTAATATGGTTGTATCCAATTCCACCCACTAGTTCTGACTCCCCCATCACATGATACCCCCAGCTCTAGGAGGGTGAAGGTGAACACAGGCTTCCTCTGAGTTCTGTGAAGCTCCACTGCATCTTTTTAAACTGCAGCTAATGCAGCGTCACTGTACAGCTGAACGCGCTCGGAGGAGACGCCCATCACCAGATCTGTTACGTCAGCTAACAGGGGCCTCAGGAGCTCCTCCGTGGTGTATCTAATGCCTAATCTAATGGAAATTCTCCTCGACTCTTCTGATCAACACCTTTCAACAGTGAGCTGTGGACCATGGCTTTGAACACAGCCACGCCTCCAGTTATAAAAGGATGTCCGCGCTTCTATAGACCGTTTTTTCTTATTTTATTATTTTTTTCCCCTAAGATGTGTCTTATAGTTTTTCACCTTAATATTTAAGTTGCACGTTTACAATAAAGTTGAAGAAACTTCTCATTTGATTTTTACGTCACAAATCTGCATTTTTACCGGGGTGTGTAGACTTTTTATATCCATGTATGTACACTGCAGGCGCTAAAGGTCTGAACCAACTAGTGAAAATGCTTCCATTTTGCATTCTTCTCTAATTTAATATGAAGTTTTTCATTATACAGTGTATACATTTACTTCGATTTGAATAGTGACCTAGAAGTAGTGAAGAATATTTCTTCCTTGTTTTAGTTGTTTAACTGCTCATGGCTCTATATGGAATCATTTTCTTTACTGAGGAGAAACAGAACTGTTCACAGTGGTGGTGATAGGAACCAGACGTCCACCTCTAAAAGCTCCTCACAGAAAGTTCCTACATGAAATGGTTATGAATTCACTGCCTGATGACTGAGACACTGTTTTATGATAGTTTAGAGAACTTAAACTCCATTCATGGTGGAGGGATACATGCAGGGCGCTGTGAGGCAAAATAGTCCCCAAAGAAAACTTATTATTTCAGATTTTCCACTATTTTCCATCATCAACATTCCATATAAACTCAGAAGACTCGTGTAGGTTCACTGGTGGTTCTGGATAGTAAATAAAATGTCTATATTGTGTTGTAGTCATGGCGACCCCTGGTTCCTATCACCACCACTGTAAAGACGTCAGAACCATTTCCTATCAAAACAGTGAGTTATGGGGAAAATTCCCACATTTCAACTCTTTATTCTTAATCATTAGACCCACCAGTGCAGTGAACACAGTGGGGGTCAGAGGTCAGAGGCCGCATTGAGAATCTAGAATACATTTTTCATTTAACCCTGAAAAATAAAAACTGAAAGTTTCAGAATTTTGAAAACTTTAAGAGAAGAAAAGCTGTGAGAGGTAAAGTGAAGAGGTGTTGATCTATTTTTAGCTCACTATTCAAATGTAATCAAATGTGTGATGTGTGACGGTAGCTGGGGTGTTTGTGCTGAGAGGTCAGTGTGTTTGAGTTCTTCCACTGAAGCTCAGATGTTCCGACTCTCAGATGGTCTGATCTGATCTGATCTGATCTGATCTGATCATCACAGGCTTCTACACTTCTAACATCCAGCTGGAGCGCACACTGCCATTACAGCAAAAGGGGGACACAGTACGCTCTTAGAACAGAGGGTTCTTCAAGGGTCCTTTAGTAAAGACAATGGTTCCACACTCATCTGCATGCCTAAACGGTTCTTTGCAGGGTGAAATGTTCTTCAGATTGATGGAGAATGTGTTGTATATGGTTCTATATAGAACATTTATGAAAAGGGCTCTATATAGAATCATATACAACACATTCATCATTCTGAAGAACCATTTCACCAACAAATGAAAGATGGAAGAACGCTTTTTGGTTCTATATAGAACCATATACCACTCATTCTTCAGACTGATGGAGAATGTGTTGCATATCATTCGATGCAGCACCAAAAAGGGTTCTGCTACTGTTATGTATGTTATGTTACAGTTATGAAGCTTGTAATGATGAGTCTTTTTGGTACTATATAGAACCATACACAAGACATTCTCCATTAGTCAAAAGAACCGTTTCATGATGCAGAGAACCCTTTAATCATGCAAAGTGTTCTTTGAGTGTCCATAGTTCTAAATAGAACCATTTTCTTTCCTAAAGAACCCCTGAAGAACCGTCTTTTTTAAGTGTGATTATCAGTTTAGAGGTTGGTGGTACTCTGAGCTCATAGTGTGTTCAGTTACAGCTGCTGTTCAGCAGTGAAAGCGGTAACTTTTGGTTCTCTTCCTCACTCAGGGTTCTGCGAAAGACTCGAGTTTAATCTTGACTGCGTTTCTTTCTTCCTGTGCTCTTCTTGTGTCTCTAGATCTCAAACTTTATGAGCTGTATTATCTAATGCCTTTATTTCTCTGCCGCTGTGTGTAAAAGGTTCTGTACAGATAAACCTGCCTCTCCAAACTGGTACACTGATAATACAGGGAGATTCACTCGAAAGAGGCCCCGGATATTCTGTTGAACTCCGTTATGATGAAGCAATCAGAACCAGAAAAATGCGCTACTTACCTTGACGTGTGTGTAATTGATTGCAGTGCATGCGATGCTGGAAGTGATCCCTGTTTTCTGCCAGACTCATGAAGGGGTACGGGGGTCTGCACCCGGAAGTTGCAAACGGAGGTTAAACATTGCGACGTCTGTCCGACACCTACCTCATCGCTCCGTCACAGGGGCATCATGGCTTGTTCAAAGCTTCATATACTGAGGAGCTCATTGCACAGTGTTGGTTCAGATTGATTCGTCCTAGAGAGAGTTATTACAGAATATTCAGGGCCTCTTTCAAATGAATCTCCCTGTGTAATTTATAATGAAAAGTCAGTATTAAATGATAAAAGAATGCATAATTAGCGCTCTGAGACTTGTGGACCCCACTGTGTGTCTCAGAATGTGCCTTAATTTGTGAGTTTGTCAGACTGGTGGGCAGATGGTCTGTATAAGCTGCCTGTGATTTGATGACTGCGGTGTTGACTGAAGGTCTGTCTGAGCAGACAGTGTTTATTGTCTGAGCAGACAGAGGGTCATTGTTTACGAGGAGTCTTAACCTCCGTCTCCTCTTGCCAGATTGCATCGGAGGAGCAGCCACCTGAAACCGTGTGCCATGTGAGCTCAGGAGCCGGCAGAGTGGAGGTAAAGCTCACGCTCGCCATCCTCGCCGCAGGAGCGACCGGAAAATCCGGTTACCCTCAGCGCGGCGGTGAAATCAGACGCTCCGTATCGCGATGATCAGCAGTTTCTCTCTGACTGACAGTGTAAAACACCCCAGAGTAACACCTGTCACCTGTGACAATGAGTAGAGTTTACCTTTAAAGGGCCACGTTCTCCACACCTGAAAAGGGTTCTCCATGGGTTCTTCGGTGAAGGCAGTGGCCCATAGTTATCAGCCTTCTTAGGGTAATAATACTGATCCAGGATCAGCTCTAAAGATCTAACACTAAATAAAATTCCCTGAGACCTGATCTTACATCAGCGCTCTTGATAAATGTGGACCAGTGGTTCTATTTAGAACCTTGAGAACCATTTCATGCTTGAATGTTTCTTTCCACGGTGGAGTGGTTCTTCAGATTGTTGGAGAATGTGTTACATATCGTTCTGTAACAGGGTTCTGCAGTGGGTTACAATGTCAAGCTTGAAGATGACAGCAGAACCCTTTTTGGTGCTACATATAACCCTTTTTCTAAATGGTTCTATACAGAACCATATACAACACATTCTTCAGACTGATGGAAAATGTGTCCTGTTCAGAGTCATTTTGAAAAGGGTCCTACATAGCACCAAAAAGGGTTCTGCTGCTGTTATGATGTCAAGCTGAGAACAGTAGAAGAACCCTTTTTGGTGCTATATAGAACCATATACAACATATTCTTCAGTTTGATGGTGGTTTTTGTTGAACATGGTTCTATATAGCACCAAAAATAGTTCTGCTGCTGTTACGATGTCAAGCTTGTAACGATATAGAAATGTTTTTGGTGCTATATGGAACCCTTTTCAAAAAGGTTCTATATATAACCACATACAACACATTCTCCATCTGTCTGAAGATCCATTTCACCGTGCAAAGAACCCTTTAATCATGCAAATGGTTCTTTGAGTGTTCATGGTTTGATTTAGAACCATTGCCTTTACTAAGGAACCCTTGAAGAACTTTTTATATAGAACCATTTCATGCTTGAATGGTTCTTTCCATGGTGGAATTGTTCTTCAGATTGATGGAGAATGTGTAGCAGAACCCTTTCTGGTGCCATATAGAATCATATGCAACACGTTCTTCACCAATCTAAAGAACGATTTCACCGTGCTGAGAACCCTTTAAGCATGTAAATGGTTCTTTGAGTGTTCCTAAATAAAACCACCGTCTTTTCTAGAACCATGTTTTTTGAGTGTGTTGATTGATTGATTTGCCTTGATTGATCACAGAAAACTCCTCTCTAAGGTCTGTGATTGGTCAGGATGGTCACAGCACACAGTAAAATAACACTGATTGGTTAGAAGCTCATTTGCATATTGGTGCCCTCTGTGACATCAGTGCTGTAAAGGCCAGTATCACGATAACAGTTAGGAACCCACGTATTGTGCAGCCCTGACTGTAGTCAGTATAACCGCTTATTCTCCAGGGTATATTTTGGTTTTTCCGTCTGAATTTTTGTGCCCAATTCATGAGGCAAATTATTCAGTAACTGCATAAAATAACTAATGTAAAAGCTCCCGTCAGATTAACAGAAAATGTGTTTTTTGATGATAAACATGATGCTGTATACTTACACATCTCTCTTTGCTCTTTGTATTATTTTATAAAAGTAATGTTCCAGAGCAGATCACTGAAGAGACGGCATCTGTTTATAGTTTGTAGCCCAGATTTGTGAAAAATGGGTCGACTTTCAGTAGAAAAAAAAGAATTGTGAGTTCAGCTTCTTTTATTATAAGGGTTTAAAATGACATCACCATCTATTTGACTGGAAAGAAGACAGTTACAGCCTCATACGACCCCCACCTTTAGAATGAAGCTTATGAAATATGAAAGTTATGAAGAATATGACGAAGTGTGTTTTTGTCCCACCGGTGGTTCCAAAGAGTTAAAGAGGTTTAACAAGTCGTATCAGAGAGAACTCTGCAGGTGTTGCTGATGTTCTGGTTAAACGTCCGCTCTCTGTGTTTAAGGCCTGTGTGAGGAACGTGCCGTGTGCTGGACGTGCACTGAGGAACGCCTTCTTATCCAACGGGCAGGAAAACTGGAAAGCCCACGTCAAACTAGCCAGGATCATCAAGTAAGTCCAGCCACGTTTAAAATGGACCAAAACGTCCTTAATATCAAAGAACCTTCAGAACGAATCCCGCCTGCAGGTTGTTCAGCGGGACCTGCGGGGGATCCCGCCTTGTGCAGACCTCTGCTATGAAAGGGTCTGATTCCACGGGCTGATCAGTTTGTTTTACACAGTATTTCTTGAAATAAGCAAAATCATCTTCGCTCTTTCTAGAAATGAGTAAAATGATCGTGTAATATTCTTACAGTCTCATCATGAGAAGCATTAGATATGCAGTTAAGGTCACATACACTCAGGCTGAAGTCATTAAAAGTCCAGGATGTGTACTTTGTACATTTTTTCCAGTAAATGTTTACAAACTGATTATTTCACTTATAATTCACTACATCAAAATTTCCGTGGGTCAGAAGTTTAAATACACTGTGTTGACTCTGTTTTTGAATAGCTCAGAAAATGACACCATGGCTTTAGAAGCCTCTGATAGGTTAACTGGCCTCATTTGAGATAATTGGAGGTACCTGTGGCAGTATGTGTGAGTGTGAGCAAGGAGGCCAAAAACCTGGCTCACAGTGTGTCCCAGTTCAGGGGCTGCATTTGAAGACGCGTCACAGTGGTGCGACTAGGCTGTCCCATTTCGACGCCTCCTTCATATGTGGCCTAGAAATGTGTCGAACACCGGTGCTGTGATGCAAACAAAAAATCCGCCATAGGGCAGACCGTCTCATTTCGGTTCAGTCTAAGCAGCCTTCGAAGGACACACCTTCGTAGACCGCGTCCTTGGAAGGATCCAGCCCCTGAATTGGGACACACTGTCAGTTTCACCAGTTCTGTCAGGACTGGGCCAACATTCCAGCAGCTTATTGCGAGAAGCTTGTGGAAGGCCACCTGAAGTGTTTGACCCAAGTTAAACAGTTTAAAAGCAATGCCACCAAATACTAAACACATGTATGTAAACTTCTGGGCCACTGGGAGTGTGATAAGAAAAAAAGCTGGAATAAATCATTGTGTCTAGTGTTATTCTGACAGTTCCCATTCCTAAAATATGGCAGTGATCCTAACTGACCTTAGAGAGGGAACGTGCACTTGGATTAAACACCAGGAACTGTGAAAAACAGTTTAAATGAACGGGGCCGAGGGGTGTGTAAACTTCTGACTTCAGCTGTATTGTCTACATTTCAGATCTAGTGTGCTAATCAGCTGCACTCCACAGATACAGCAGACAGATCAGGATGGAAGGCTTTGTTGTGCGTTGTGTTGCTGTGTGTGTATAAAGTGTGCGCTGCTGTTTCGGTGGTGCTGAGTAACCGTGTGTGGGTTCTGGTGATGTTCTGCAGAAGGAGCTTTGTGGGTCTGGAGCTGGTGCAGTGGCTGATGGAGCAGTGCGCCTGTGTTCAGAGCAGAAACACAGCTGCTGGAGTCTGGAATGTTCTGCTGGAGCACAGCGTTCTTCTATCAGGTACATGCAGAACCGGTTCTTACTGCAGTGGCCTCGTCTGATGAACATGTGGAGCTTGCTGATAACTATCATGAAAGATCTCGTATAGAGTTTCTATCAGTCGGCCTTATCAGGGCACAAACTAACACGTACCGTGTAGCAACATCGACAGAAAAACAAGAAATAAACACTAAATCTGAGGAGACAAATGACTGAACAGTGAAATGATCTGTCCACGCAGCAAAATCATCTCACTGGACAAGAAATGTTCCAGTCCAGTAATAAGTAGCTCTGAGAAGTGTTCACTCACTGCAGCTCAGTAATAAGTCAAATACCAGTTACTGGAATTACAGGACCCCCATGGACCCTCACAGAGCAGGTACTATTTGGGTGGTGGATCATTCTCAGCACTGCAGTAACACTGACGTGGTGGTGGTGTGTTAGTGTGTTGCGCTGGTGCGAGTGGATCAGACACGGCAGTGCTGCTGGAGTTTTTAAACACTGTGTCCACTCACTGTCCACTCTATTAGACACTCCTACCTTGTCAGTCCACCTTGTAGATGTAAAGTCAGAGACGATAGCTCATCTGCTGCTGCACAGTTTGTGTTGGTCATCCTCTAGTCCTTCATCAGTGGTCACAGGACGCTGCCCACAGGACGCTGTTGGCTGGATGTCTTTGGTTCTCAGTCCAGCAGCGACACTGAGGTGTTTGAAAACTCCAGCAGCACTGCTGTCTCTGCTGATTGGGTAACACCTCTGACACGCCCATCAGGCCAGAGAAAACGCACCTCAAAGCTGCTGCACAGTGTGTCACACCATTTGGACAAAACACGTCCTTCAACCCAGAATCCGTAGTAAAACAGTGCCCGTTTTGAGACTGACCCCACGTTTCAGGACGTTTCATTCTCTTTCCTGTCCATAGAGTTCATATGCAGCTTTTCACAAGACCCAGGGATTCATGTTGGTCATGTTATGGCGGTGGAGTGAATCTGGCCCTCTGTATCTCCGCACTGAAGCACAGATCTTTCAGACTTAATTATTCGTATTACAGTTCACTTTTATTATAATTGTTAGTAATTTATGTGCCAAAAAATACATTATTGTATTTCAAATGCACTTTAAATTCATTAAAAAGTTCAATCATACACACTCAAAGTTCTTTAAGGGTTCTTTAGGACCATGGGTTCCATATAGAACCATTTCATGGTTAAATGGTTCTTTGCAAAGTGAGATGGTTCTTCAGATTGATGGAGGATGTGTGTGTATATGGTTTTATATAGCTGACCTTTCATTGTTACAAGCTTGGTGCTACATACAACCAATTTCAGGAAGGTTCTATGCAGAACCATATACAACACATTCTCTATCAATCTGAAGAACCATTTCCCCACGCAAAGAAGATGCAAATTCTATATATAGAACTCATGGTTCTAAAAAGAGCCATTGCCTTTACTAAAGAACCCATCTTTTTTAAGAGTGTAGAATAATGTGTACCTTTTTAAAGCACGTTTTAATGAACAGATGTTCTTGAGTCCACAGAGCTCATTCTGTTCTACACAGGTTGGTTCGGCTCTGATGAACAGAGGTTCTCTAACTGATTTCGATGTGAAAGCGATTGATGTTTTAGCCCATTACTGATCCCAGTGTAACTGAGCGTGCTGTGTGTTCCAGTGGAGAGGCAGGCGGCGTTTGAGGACTCTGCAGCTCTGTATCAGTTCTCCTTCGAGGAGTGTGAGGCTCTCAGCTGTGAGTTCAGAAATCAGAGCCAGTGGCAGAACGGAGTGAGTCTGCTCTTACAGCTGGTCCCCCTCACGCAGCTCCGCGCTGGGACCCGCAAACCGTGAGTACAAAGTCAGCCCCCAGTTTTTTTTGATATCTGGTGTTCTCTGTGGGGAACATGTATGAATGTCTTTTTTTATTTTAGTGCAGTTTCATTTTGGGCAAAGTGTGCCATTACATTTGCAAAGGCCACATTTTCTGTTTTTGTTAAGCAAGTAAACAGTAACCGTGCATTAACGTGCAGACCTGTCGACTTATTTTCACTTAGAACATTAACAAAACCGTGATTTGACCAGGTGTGCCCAACTTCTACACAGGGAAGTGTAAGATATGGGCCCTTTAATATGCACTGTACTTTCAAAACTTGGAAAAAAGGCCAGGGGAACTTCCGCAGCTCTGAGGGGTATTAATCTAAGACAGTGTGTCCTTTTATCAGCCCGTGTCTGAGTGTGATAAAGCCTGTTTGTCTCTCATCACTCTATCAGATATGTGTTCTGTCATGCGCTACATCACTACATCATACAGAATACAGTGTCAGCTTCCCATAAACAGGTCCAGGATCAGTTTCCAGCTCATAATTGTTGAAAACTGGCTTTAACAGGCAGTTATGGGCCTTTAGAGTCACTTTGCTGCTTAACAGAGTGCAGTTCCGTCAGTCACCAGCAGGTGTCTACATGATATCAGGTCATTGGCTGAGGGAAGCTCTGTGAGGCCTGTCTGTGCTGAGCGTCCAGGTGGAATATTTTTGCGCTCAGTGTGTTAAATTCAGCAAATAAACACTAATTGTGTACAGTAGTGAGTCTGTAGAGGATGTGTAACTCATTTACACTCAGAACATCAACAATAACATGGAATTTAACCAGGGATGCCCAGACCTTTGTATACAGCTGTATGTTCCGTATTCCAAATCCATATTGATCAAATCTTACTGCTTTTTAGCGCTAAGTGTCAAATTAAATCACAGTTCTTGTCCTCAGTGGTACCACTAACATGTTGCTCTTACCAAAAACAGATTTTCCCTCCTCAGTAACTGTTTATTTATTTCTTGTTATAACACTGAGAATTATTTCTAAACTTGTGACTGGGTGGAATATTTCACACTAAACTGGCTGAAGTTTAAAACTTGTAATGTTAATATTTGTTCAGTCAAATACATTAATTTTCTGTGCAAATTGCAAAAAGTACCATTAAATGCTGTTTTCTCTGTCTGTTTTGTGTGACGGGGTGGACGGGTCCTGCTAAGAATGCAGATGATCTGTCCTGAATGAGACAAGTTCTCTTATTTGGAACCTTTTAAACATACACACTTAAAAAGATGGTTCTTCAAGGGTTCTTTAGTAAAGGAAATGGTTCTACATAGAGCCATGAACACTCGAAGAACTCTTTGCATGCTTAAATGGTTCTGTGCATGATGAAATGGTTCTTCGGGTTGAATGGAGAATCTGATATAGATGGTTCTATAAAGAATCTTTTTGAAAAGGGTTCTATATAGCACCAGAAAGGGTTCTTCTATTGTTACGATGTCAGGGGGCAGTCGTGGTCTGGAGGTCAGGGAACCAGCCTTGTGACCGGAAGGTCGCCAATTCGATCCCCTGAGCCGACAGTACATGACTGACATGCCCTTGAGCAAGACACCTAACCCCCAACTGCTCCCTGGGCGCCATGGATAGGGCTGCCCACCGCTCTGTGCAAGTGTGCTCACTGCCCCCTAGTGTGTGTGTTCAGTAGTGTGCATGTATGTGTGTGTTTCACTGCACGGATGGGTTAAAGGTCTAATTCCTCTGTGTGCAAAACACAGTTGGCTGATGGTTCTGAATTCAATTCAGTTCATTTGTTATGATAGAAGAACCCTTTTTCCATCAGTCTGAAGAACCGTTTCACCTTTTAAAGAACGTTTTAATCATACAAAGTTCTTTATGTTCCTGGTTCTTTATAGAACCATTTGCTTTACTAAAGAACCCTTGAAGAACCATCATTAAGTGTGTAGTCACATTTCAAAGTGCGCCACACAAACACAAAGTAAAAGCATTAGTAATAATGAAGCTCATGTTGTCCTGAGACTCAGCACCTCAGAAAGCCTCTCGCAAAGATGCTGACAAAAATATCAATTAAAATAAAAATACAATAAAATTGAAAAATAAGGGATTAAGAGAAATTATAGTGATTTAAGATAAACAAAGGCTCCAGATAACAAGAACGTCTTTAATCTGGGCTTACAGGCAGCTGCACTCGGAGCGTATCTGGCCTCTGGGGGTTTGTTCCAGCAGAGGGCAGCAGAGTGACTGACTGCTGCTTCACTCTGTTTGGTTCTGAGATGTACTGACTGACAGTCCGAGTGATCAGAGAGGCCTTTAATTGGTGATAGATGAGAGTGAGGTTCACTGACTGTCTGTATGAACGTGTGTGCATTCCTAAAAATATGGATATGCAAAAGTCTTTCTTTTCCATTTACAATGATCAAAAAGTAACACATATTCATACATTATGATAATGATGATGATTATATTCATATTTAGGCTTGAAAAACGTTAATTAGCGTTTCTGTCTGTAATACCATCGAATGTTATGTACGTTCAATGTCTTTACCTGGAATGACTCGGCTAACAGACTTTAAATTAGCTTGGCAAGTGAAGTCCCAGGTGGTTGCTAAGGTGTTGCTAGGCTGTTGCTGTGTTATCCCCAGTGGTTGCCAAGGTGTTGCTATGGTATCTCAGGTGGTTGCTAAGGTGTTGCTGTGTTATCCCCAGTGGTTGCTAAGGTGTTGCTAGGTTGTTGCTGTGTTATCCCTGGTGGTTGCTAAGATGTTGCTAGGCCACTTTGGAAACAAATAAAACATAAAGTGAGGTCTGTGCAAAGGTTATGGAACTTTTTAAATCCAGTGTTGTAATTTTTTCCAATACGGTAAAAATAGTGAATACATAAAAACTGAAGGCAGTAAATTAAAATGAAATCAATTTAAATGAATCCTGTCCTCTGTAGAGGAGGTTTAACTTATTCTCACTTAGAAAATCAACACAACTTGTAATTTGACAAAGCGTGTTTACAATAACGTCTGGATTATCCTGTTGCTGATCTAATCAGAGGAGCCCTGATTCTGATCAGTTTGGAATGTTTATTCGAGGCCAGATCGATGAGTCTGCCCAGCGCGGATCAGCAGACGGGACGCGAACGGACCTAAATGGCTCCATCTCGCCCCGTCACTCTGTGTGTGTGTGTGTGTGTGTGTGTGCGCGCGTGTGTGTGTGTGTGTGTGTGTGAAAGTGGGTCAGTGAGGTGCTGTCCTCTCCGCTGTGTCTGTTTTTTTCGGGAAGTGCCCCCTCACCGAGACAAGTTCTGTTTTTAGACCCCCTTTGTTTCCCTGTATCACCGCTGCTTCCTCTCTCTGCCCCCGCATGACGGTCATGACCTGCCGCTCAGCTGCAGCCTTTACTGCCCAGTTCAGTTCAACTGTATTTTAAATTTATACTAAAATGGATAGTTCGGATTATTAGTCTGAGCTGATCTCGTTGTAATACACTTGATCTACACGTCGCACACATCCACTGAATTTTGTATTAACTGTTTAATGTCCATATCTGAGTTTCCCTTGGTTCATACAGTCGTTTTCCCCAATCAGGGTTTAACGTATTGGAAAAAGCTAAAACATAAAATGCAGAATGTGCCATAACTTTTGCACAAGCCACATTTGTATTTTTTTCAATATGTTAAATTCAGTAAACAGTAATTGTGCATTAAAAGGTCAAAGGTGACTAGATGATGTGTAAACATGATTTCACCAGGAAAATCAACAAAAACACAGAATTTGACAGGCGCACAAACTTTTGCACACGACTGAATGTTCTCTGAGCATGAATCTAAAAAAAAAAATCACTGATCAAATCACGGCTTTTTATTGCTTAATGTGTGAGGTGGTGGTGGTGGTGGTGGTGGTGGTGGTGGTTGTTTCTTTACAGCCAGGTTGGTTGATTTTTATTAGCCTTTATTAATGAGTAGTTTTTAATGAGGTTATTAATGGTTAATAATTACAACTCAAACAGCTTAAAAACTACTGATGAACAGTTATAAACACAAATAAAAACAGTGACTTTTTTTTTTTGCTAAACGCTCAAATGCTGCTGGTTACTGATCTTCAGGAACGCCTCAGCACCATCACGTTCATATTCATCACACATCGCTGTTATACATACATACATCATCTAAACCGCTTATCCTTCTGGGTCGCTGTGGGGTGCTGGAGCCTATCCCAGCTGTCATTGGGCAGAAGGCACATCCCTGTTATAGCTGTTTTTATGTATGTGCTGGTTTTGCGTTTGAGACCTGATGCTCTTTGTCATTGTGTGTGTGTGTGTGTGTGTGTGTGTGTGTGTGTGTGTGTGTGTGTGTCTCTGCAGGTGTAATGAAGAGACTGAGATGAACTCTGACCGGTGCAGCCGTGTTGTCCAGATGAGAGCTCTAGAGCGCCTCACGTCCACGGTGAGAAAATCTCAGCTTTTACTGCTCTTCTTAGATCACTGTTACAGATGCTCTGCACTTTAAAGCGATAGTTCAGCCTAAAATCTGATTTACAGTTTCCCTGCTTTACCCCACATTTAGTCCTTTAACCAGGACGAGTTCAGTGTCTGACGTTTGCTTCCTCAGTGCTGACCGGTGGGTTTAAGCTTCAGCTTCCATTACCTGGATGGAAGTTTCTGGAATCTGGAGCCGTTTTACAGAGCCTTCATGTCTTTAGTCTTAAAGTAAGATCTGACAGGTCATTTGACCTACGTATGACTATGAAATTCAGTCCGTACTGAGGTCGTCATGGAGACTAAACTGATATGACCCCTGGATTATATAATAATCCCCTGCTGTTAAAGAGACTATAGAAATAATCCCAGATTGTATCAATGTACTGTAATAAAACAAACCATAGAAATAACCCCAGGTTACAGTATTATTATAGTGTGGAAAAATCCAAGGTTATATTAATCCCATGCTATAAAGCTGGGAATCCTCTATTATTAAATAAACCATAGAAATAATCCCAGAACATATTAATCTGATGCTATTAAACAAACCTTAGAAATAACCCCAGGTTATATTAATAATCCCAGAATATAGTAAAAGTATATTATAGTGTAGAAATAACCCCAGGTTATATTAATAATCCCAGAATATAGAAAAAGTATATTATAGTGTGGAAATAATCCCAGGTTATATTAATCCTGTGCTAAAAAATCTTGAACAGTTGAATGTAGTGTGTCAAATAACAAAACAGTTGACTTTTGCACATTGTGTGAACAGTTAATGATGAAACAGTCCAAAGTTACTTTAAAAGGTCCGTATCATGGAGAACTGAGCTGAGCTTCCGTTACTAACATTAGCCTCGAATATAAAACGTACAGGAAAGAAAGCATCCATTGAAACGTAACGGGACTCATCAACTCTGCAGGCGATTCCATGTAACTAGACAACAGTGTAGCGCAGAGGTCACTAACAGGCAGACTGCAGTCCGAGTCCGGACCCAGACACTGTCATGCAGACCTGGACCTGTAACCGATAAACTATGGAGAATTATCTAATTTTGATGGGGTGGTCCTGTTTTAATCGACGCCGCTTTTCTAGTCATTACAGTACCAGTTTAGCAGCCCAAGAAACTCGCAGACCAATCGCATGCGTTGTAAATATCACACATGACGCTACTCAGCCAATCAGATCTGTGCATTACGAAGAGCACTGAGACTCGAGTGAGTGACGCCACACAGGGGAGGGACGAGGCGAGGAACAGCAGTCGGAGAAGAAAGTGAGTCAGAGGGAAGTTATTTCACATGGCGGCTCTAAAAAGACAAAACTGACAGTAAATATTGTTGAAATATGACTGAACTGCACTTTATTTGATTAGATATTCAGTTGTTGACTGTCTAAGATGCTGATATACGTACTAGGCTACCTCAGTAAACAGTATATGGCACTGAGTCATGATGCAAGTCAGACATTATGATGTTCTGGACCTTTGCTTGAGGAAATGTTCTCTAACTGTTCTTACTGAGTTTTAATTAAAGACCCCTGGTGCAGTGTGTCATCTCGACAGTAGAACCAGTGTTGGCTACCTAGGAAGCTCTGCTTGGTAGTGAGATGGCTGATCAGCCAATTCTGCCACTTTTGGCTTGTAGCATAATAGTTGCTTATGATACAGTGAAGAAGAAAAGGTAATTAAATCTGTATCTGTAGCTGAAATGTCATGGTGCTGTGAGCTCCTAACGTCTTGGCTGATTTACTCTGAGGTGAGAGTGAGACGTGTACGTTTTTTGGCTGAACTGTCACTTGAACAGTTGAGCCCATGTTGTTATTGCTGTGTGTTTGATGTGTTTGTCCCTCAGAGGACGTGTTTCTCATGCTTCGTCCAGTCGTGTGGATTTTCAGGCTAAGTGTTATTGTATTTGGTGCACGTACAGCGCAGTTATTACAACATAGAGGACATAGTTCTCCTTCAAACCTCCCTCTGTAATGAAACCCACCTGTGCTCAGTCCGTCTTCACCCCTCTGAGCGTCAGCACTTCAGGTGCGCTGACTGGGTCCGTACATTAGGCCGTGCTGAGCGCGCTTTGCTTCCAGCCATTAAGGTAATGTTGCAGAACCGCTGCTCAAGGTGAAGCCGCGCACCTGCCGTCACCTTGGCAACAGAAATAGAAACTCTCGCCCGCGATTCCGCCTCGGACCGGAACGCTGAAGGACGAAATGGAGCGAACTATTAATTTCCTGCTGTTCCTTTATACAGAGATGCTGCATGTTCAGCCCTGCTGGTCATACATCGAATGCTGACTCCAGTATTTCTCTTCATCGTGTGATTTCAGTCTCCAGTCTGCCATGTTCTTAATGATTACCGGAGATTATATTAATCCTGTACTATAAAATAAACCATAGAAGTAATCCCAGATTATATTAATCCTGTACTATAAAATAAACTGTAAAAATAATCCCAAATTACATTAATCCAGTGCTATTAAATTAACTGTAGAAATAATCCCAGGTTATATAATCCAGTGCTATAACATGAGCTGCAGAAATAATCCTGTGCTGTAAAACAAACCATATAAATAGTCCCAGGTTATATTAATCCTGTGCTTTAAAATGAACTGTAGAAATAGTCCCAGGTTATAGTAATCTAGTGCTATTAAAAACGAACTGTAGAAATAATCCCAAATTATATTAATCCTGTACTATAAAATAAACCATAGAAGTAATCCCAGATTATATTAATCCTGTACTGTAAAATAAACTGTAGAAGTAATCCCAGATTATATTAATCCTGTACTATAAAATAAACCATAGAAGTAATCCCAGATTATATTAATCCTGTACTATAAAAGAAACTGTAGAAGTAATCCCAGATTATATTAATCCTGTACTATAAAATAAACCGTAGAAGTAATCCCAGATTATATTAATCCTGTACTATAAAATAAACTGTAAGAAATAATCCCAAATTACATTAATCCAGTGCTATTAAATTAACTGTATAAATAATCCCAGGTTATATTAATCCTGTACTATAAAATGAACTGTAGAAATAGTCCCAGGTTATAGTAATCTAGTGCTATTAAAAACAAACTGTAGAAATAATCCCAGGTTATATTAATCTAGTGCTTTAACTTGAACTGTAGAAACAATCCAAGGTTGTACTAATCCAGTGCTATAAAACTGATTGACAGTTTGTCAGATAGTTGAGTGTTATGATGAAATGGTCCACAGTTACTCCGGGTTAGAGAGCCCATATCCTAGAAAACTGGATCTTCTTCACTTCTTTGAGTCAAATTCTTTGATGTAGTTTGTAGACATTGCTAAATTTTCCTAACCTGCCTTTCACTCCCCAGTCCATATGTGGACAATAAGCATGGTTTGAATGGCATCACAAACACATTTACATATGTCTGCCTACTTAGCCTACAGCAGTTTAGCCCCGCCCACTCACACTGAAGTTATGAGAAGTGTTTCACTGCTTTCACAGCCACATATATCAGTTATGAAGGCAACAGAGTAACAAACAGAGCCTGTTTAACTCAGAAGGAGAAAGAGAGATTATAGAACGGTCACACAGGAATCAATTAGGACTGTTTTAGTAAAATAAACACAAACATCTAAAAGTGGACAGTGGAAATGTGGGATATGGGCCCTTTAAGAAGCTTTTTCCCTGTTCTTGGCAGTGATTTGAAAGGTAGCATTAGCGGAGCTGACGGACAGGGTCAGCGTGGCTCTGTTCCCACATCAGCCTCATTTATCACTGGCTTTAGTCTGAAGGCCTGACGAGGAGCTGGCGCTCTGCACGGCCTCCTGGGAGATGTAGTGTTTGTGGGCCACTGAGCAGGGTTAAACACTTCAGCCCCAGGCTTACTCTCACAAACACGCATCATTTCTTCACCAACGTGTGATTTATTGCGAACATGTCTGAAGGCTTTATGTGCAGAACCAAGTCTAGTCGTGTTTGATTGTATCTGTACGACTGCAGTCTCATCACGGATTGACACAAACGGTACAGTTTGCTGTTATTTTTTATTTCCAGTCAGATATGAATTATTCTATAGATATTCATGCTTGTTTACATTTGTGAACTGAGGAAATAGGCCTGCAATTTCTGCTCTTTCAGTCTGCGTTTTAAATTAGATTTACTGCTGAGCTTCAGGCCAGTCGAGACCTTTCTGGAGACTAATGAAGATCTCCTGCCATGTGCCCTGGGGGCTGTGGTGGAGCAGATTGCAGATCTACACTATGAAGAGCTCTGAATTAAAGGAACACTTCAGCGTTTTCCATCCTGAGCTCAGTCTGCTGTATCTGTAGAGAACAGTTCATCACCACAGATAATAATTTTAACACGTTTTCCTGAACTTGGAGAACCCACTGACTGTAAATCTCACTCATAATAGAAGTCAATAAGCAGCTGAAAATCCCCCCATAATTCAGTGTGTGAGGTGTAATCAGAGAGATTTAGAGTGGTTTGGTGTGAAATGGTTCAGTGGTGGTGATAGGAACCAGGGGTCGCCATGACTACAACACAAATATAGACATTTTATTTACTATCCAGAGCCACCAGTGAACCTACACGAGTCTTCTGAGTTTATATGGAATGTTGATGATGGAAAATAGTGGAAAATCTGAAATAATAAGTTTTCTTTGGGGACTATTTTGCCTCACAGCGCCCTGCATGTATCCCTCCACCATGAATGGAGTTTAAGTTCTCTAAACTACCATAAAACAGTGTCTCAGTCATCAGGCAGTGAATTCATAACCATTTCATGTAGGAACTTTCTGTGAGGGAGCTTTTAGAGGTGGACGTCTGGTTCCTATCACCACCACTGTGAACAGTTCTGACTCAGTAAGTTTCTCTAGAAACCAAACCGCTCTGAACGACTCTGTTCACATCTTAACTGTTTAATCACATATAATTTTTGAAGAGTTGGTGGAGTTCCCCTTTGAGCCCTGGCTGCAGGCTGCCTCTCGTTAGCGTTATTGCAGTCCATGCTTGATTGTTGAGAGTAATGTCTGACATGAACAGTACGCGCCGCTGCAGGCTCCCCTTAAAGCTCTGTGTTCTAACAGGTGCAGAATGAACTGGTGGCGGCGCTGGCTCGCAAAGCGCAGAGCAGATCAGGTAACGCTTATCTCTTCATTCATTTGAGAACCAGGAGAACATATCAAGATATTTAGAGTTCTGTAGTGATAGTACTGTAACTTTAAATTGCAAAAACATTGGAAGCCTGGAGATTTGGACCAATTATAGAGACAACAACACCAGTGTACAGTAACTGTTTCAACTGCATAGTTTTATTAGATTTTTCCTTGTTTATTTATTTATCCTACATTTTTCTTGTTTTATTTGTTCCCCTGAGGTCCATTTATCATTTGTATTGTTTTATGTACCAACAGTCTAACCTCTTTTTATCCTTTTGAATTAAACAGGCTGTTTTTCTTACTGTACATTAGGACTGATTTACACCGATCAGGCGTAACATTCTGACCACCTCCTTGTTTCTACACTCATTGTCCATTTTATCAGCTCCACTTACTATATAGGTGCACTTTGTAGTTCTACAGTTACAGACTGTAGTCCATCTGTTTCTCTGATACTTTGTTAGCCCCCTTTTACCCTGTTCTTCAGTGGTCAGGACCCCCATGGACCCTCACAGAGCAGGTACTATTTGGGTGGTGGATCATTCTCAGCACTGCAGTAACACTGACGTGGTGGTGGTGTGTTAGTGTGTGTTGTGCTGGTACGAGTGGATCAGACGCAGTAATGGACAATGAGCATAGAAACAAGGAGGTGGTCATAATGTTATGCCTGACCAGTGTATGTAAATGAGCCCTGATCTGATTGGCTGCCCTGTATTGCACTCATAAAACATGCCTTATAACTTCAGTGTCACTGGGCGGCGCTGAACTGCTGTAGGCTGAATAGGTGGACATATGTAAATGAGCTCACGTCTGTTTTTGCAGCTCAGTTTCCATATATGGACTGTATGGACGCCAAACTTTTAACAAAGTTCAAACTCTTTTATTTAAAAAAAGTAATGAAAATGTAACATTTTCCACTGTATTGTCCTTTAATAGTAAGTTATTGTCAGTATTCCTTTACCTTATTAGTCTGTAGTTAATTCTGAGTGGATTTTTACAGTGATTGAGGAGCCCAGTCCAGACCACTGTGCCGCCCCCCAGGCTCAGACACTGTGCTCCAGTGAGAAGAAGGTATGTAAAGGTTCTGGAGATCACTGTAAGGGGGGGTGGGGGGGGGGTTCTGACTGCAAACGTGAGCGCCTGGGCGTGACAGATGCAGAAGCTCAAATCGTTCTGCTCTGTGTTAATCTGACACCAGCCATGCCGGCCCAGAGAGACCATTAGCATTAGCATTAGCCTGCTGCTGCTCAGTCATCAGTTAAGTGAGCAGTTTCTAAGATGGTTTGGAGCCACACTGTTTGACAGAAGAGTAGGGCTGGGCAATATGATGACACTAATCAGTTTTATGATCAATTATATTACAGTATGCTTTTCTGAGCATCGCTAAAAATCACTGCTGATTGGTTTTTTAAGTGTGTGTGTGTGTGTGTGTATATGTAATGCACATTGCAGTGTGTACATGGAGTGATTTACATGTACTGCAAATATTGCTTGAAACAAGCAACATTATCTACCAGTGGAATAAGATAAGTTCGCTAGATAAAGCTATTTAAAGCATATATCTTTAAATAAATATAAATGCGTCTTTAAACATAGTTTAACCTCTTATTCTCCAGGGTATATTTTGGTTTTTCTTTATTTTATTTATTAATCTATTTATTTATTTATTTATTTATTTATTTGTAAAAGTTCACCTCAAATTAACAGAACGTGTTTTATGATACACATTTTGCTATATGCTTACAATTTACTGCTGAAAGACAAAATCTTAGACGCTCTTTGTGTTATTTTATAAAAATAATGTTTACAGAGCAGATCACTGAAGAGACGCCATCTGTTTATAGTTTATAGCCCAGATTTGTGAAAAAATGGGTCGACTTTCAGTAGAAAAAAAACTGAGTTCGGCTTCTTTTATTATAAGAGTTTAAAATTACATCACCGTCTATTTGACTGGAAAGAAGACAGTTACAGCTCTCATACGACCCCCACCTTTAGAATGTAGCTTATGAAATATGAAAGTTGTGAAGAATATGATGAAGTGTGTTTTGGACCCACCCGTCTTCTCAAGGAGTGAAAGATGTTGAATAATCATGCAGTTTTCTTACAGCATCCTCAGATGGACAACATTACATATATTGACTATATTTAAAATGATTTCGCTTATTTATCCTTACGATGAGATCACAGAGGTCATGTGGCGGTTTGACTGTATGTTTGTGTTTAGATGCGAGATATGAGTCAATTTAATTAAATTTATTTCATTTAAAACTGCACTGACTCTTATTAGTTTCTGTGCAGATCAGGCTGAGAGGCTTTGAGCTGTTTCCATTCTGCTGTTAGATGATTGTTCATTGTTCTTGTTCAGTTGTGGAACGTGAAGCGTTCCAGCCGTGCTGAGCGTGATGATCTCGTATGAGGTTAAACTTCTTTATATAGGCAGTGGAGCAAATGTGGAATTCCTCTGGTGGACGGCGGAGAGGGCAGATTCCTTTCTGTTTCCCTCACTTTAAGAGATGAGGTCATTAATGCTCTGTCCAGGAAGTCGGCTCTCTGGGTATGTGCCTGTGTTTGTGTGCAGGTGCGTAACGTCACTGTTGTAATAAACAATCATATCTCTAAAATAGTATCTTCAAAAAAGGAGGAAGAACATTCCTAAAGGGGAATTCCAACAATTTCTAAACAGAGTCATTCAGAGTGGTTTGATTTTACACAAACTTAACACCTCTGAGACTTAATGAGAGTTCTTTACAGTGGTGGTGATAGGAACCAGGGGTCGCCATGACTACAACACTAATATAGACATTTTATTTACTATCCAGAACCACCAGTGAACCTACACGAGTCTTCTGAGTCTATATGGAATGTTGATGATGGGAAATCTGACTCTGTTCACCACTGTGAGCAATTCTGACCCTGAGTCTCTTTAAAACAGAGCATTATATTTGTTTATAATTGAAAAGTTACCCTTTAAATCTAGTGATCATTAATGACAGGAGTGCGATGCTGGACCAGTGTTTGTCTAATGAACCTTTACAGACCTTTTAAACACCTCCAAAACACAGGCTGCTTCTGGGCCAAACCCTGAAGAACAGCCCAGCCCATCATCCCTCCTCCACCAAACTTTACTGTTGGCTCTGCATTCTGGCATTCTTAGGCTTGTATGCAGCTGCTCAGCCACAGAAACCCATTTCATGAAGCTCCCGATGCTCAGTTCTTGTGCTAATGTTGCTTCCAGACGCAGTTTGGAGCTCTGTAGTGAGTGACGCTATAGAGGAGTGGCCCCACTCTGTGAGTTTGCGTGGTCTACCGCTTTGTGGCGGAGTTCATTTTACTCTTAGACGCTTCCATTCACAGTAATAGCACTAACAGTTGTCCAGGGCAGCTCTAGCAGGGCAGAAATTTCACAAGCTGACTTGTGGCAGAGGCGGCATCCTATGATAGTGGCACCTTTAAAGTCACTGAGCTCTTCAGTGAGACCTTCTACTTCCAGTGTTTGTCTATGGAGGATGTAAGGCTATGTGCTTGATTTTATACACCTGTTAGCATTGAATGTGTCTGAAACACCTGAACCCAGTAATTAGGAGGGGTGTTCACATACTTATGGCCGAAGCATGTCCCAGTTGCAATGCGCAACAATATAATGGCAGTATGACATTTTGCCCACCCCTAATGCCCTTCCTCGGGTTTTCTCCCACTTTCTGGAGATTGTGAAACTTCCTATCCAGGACTGGAGCCACTGGCAGATGTTTCCTGGCCACCCCCACCCCTCGGCTTCAGGCACGAGAGAGAAAGGCAGTTCATTCAAAGCCTACAGAGTATGTGCTGTGATCTGCAGCTCAGTGGAGCGTCTGCACTGGATTAGCCGCACTTTCAGCTCGGAGCTGGACTGTTATCTGTGTGAATGGTCATGGCGTGGGACTGTGGCCTCAGGTTTGTGTTCTCTGTCTCTTCTGCACTGCAGCACGGCCCTCAGGCTGGATTACACCACACAGAGGAAATCAGACGCATGGAGATGGTCCAGAAACTGGCCAAGGTCCTCCAAAGCCCCCTCAGACCTGCTGAACGACCTGCTGAGGTGAGACAGTGCTTTTAAAAAACTTAAAAACCCTCAAACTCCCATTTCAGCTCCTCACCATCATAACGGTCACATACTTTACCTTCATACTACCTTCACTGAATGACTCATAGTAGATCCTGAATAATTCATAGTAGATCCTGAATAATTCATAGTATTTACTGAATAATTCATAGTAGATGCTGAATAATTCATAGTATTTACTGAATAATTCATAGTAGATGCTGAATAATTCATAGTAGATACTGAATAATTCATAGTAGATACTGAATAATTCATAGTAGACGCTGAATAATTCGTAGTAGGCGCTGAATAATTCATAGTAAATACTGAATAATTCATAGTAGATCCTGAATAATTCATAGTATTTACTGAATAATTCATAGTATTTACTGAATAATTCATAGTAGACGCTGAATAATTCATAGTAGACGCTGAATAATTCATAGTAGACGCTGAATAATTCATAGTAGACGCTGAATAATTCATAGTAGATACTGAATAATTCATAGTAGATGCTGAATAATTCATAGTATTTACTGAATAATTCATAGTATTTACTGACATAATTCATAGTAGATGCTCTTATAGAGCGCTTACAAAATAGTGCTGAATATTCATAGAAATGAATCTTCATAGTACCGATAGTTAGAGCTGAATAATTCATAGTAGATACTGATATTTTTTTTACTGTATTTACTGAATAATTCATAGTAGACGCTGAATAATTCATAGTAGGCGCTGAATAATTCATAGTAGATGCTGAATAATTCATAGTATTTACTGAATAATTCATAGTAGATCGCTGAATAATTCATAGTATTTACTGAATAATTCATAGTAGATGCTGAATAATTCATAGTAGATGCTGAATAATTCATAGTAAATACTGAATAATTCATAGTAGATGCTGAATAATTCATAGTAGATGCTGAATAATTCATAGTAAATACTGAATAATTCATAGTAGATCCTGAATAATTCATAGTAGATGCTGAATAATTCATAGTAGATGCTGAATAATTCATAGTATTTACTGAATAATTCATAGTATTTACTGAATAATTCATAGTAGATCCTGAATAATTCATAGTATTTACTGAATAATTCATAGTAGACGCTGAATAATTCGTAGTATTTACTGAATAATTCATAGTAGATGCTGAATAATTCATAGTAGATGCTGAATAATTCATAGTAATTACTGAATAATTCATAGTAGATGCTGAATAATTCATAGTAGACGCTGAATAATTCATAGTAAATACTGAATAATTCATAGTAGATCCTGAATAATTCATAGTATGTACTGAATAATTCATAGTAGATGCTGAATAATTCATAGTATGTACTGAATAATTCATAGTATTTACTGAATAATTCATAGTAGATGCTGAATAATTCATAGTATTTACTGAATAATTCATAGTAGATGCTGAATAATTCATAGTATTTACTGAATAATTCATAGTAGACGCTGAATAATTCATAGTAGGCGCTGAATAATTCATAGTAGACGCTGAATAATTCATAGTAGACGCTGAATAATTCATAGTGGTCTGATAACTCCTAGAATGAAGAACTGAATAATAATCTATGAGTTAAGGAGTTATTATATGGGAATGATCACAGCATGTATAGCGTTTGTGCATATTAAGATACTTCAAATGTAAAAATTAAAAAGGTGAAATGTCGGTTTCTGACTGTGGTTATGGATGTAGGTTTTAAGAAGACGTGGCTTACAGAATCTTTTAATTACATTCTTGACTCATTCAAAATCTAAACAAATCTCTGATAAAGTATCTCACTCATCAGACTGTTGCAGGGTCTACCGTTACTGTGGGGAGGAGCCTCACCCTGAATTAGGTGCCAATTAATTATCTCATGCCTGTCTCTGATTGGCTGACCTCACCAAGGTCCTGTTTGTCCACCTCCTCTCTGTTGCTGCTTATTAACAATGGCAGGAAAATCTGGACCAAACCGGCATCACTCACTGCTGAACTGAGACGATAAATTATAGTTATTTAAATCAAAGGCCTTTGTGTTGATGACCTTTCCTCCCAGGTATGTCCAGAAGGTCAGTGTGCAGCGTGTCTTTAAGCTCTGTTGTGATAAGTGTGAATGCTAAAATGAGGCGGTGCTGTTAAAGCTGCTGGTCAGGGTCTCGTGTTCCAGCTCTGACCGTTTCAGTGAAAGTCAGACTGGGAGAGATTCAGCTGGAGGCTATTTTAGCTGAGTACAGAATTAGCACTTGGTGTCCTCCTCCGAGCGTGTTGAGCTCCAGTGACGCTGCTTTAGCGGCAGTTTGAGGTGGTGTGAGGAAAATGTTTTAAAGTAGAGATTTTAATTTAAATTAGAATTAAATTAGAATTTTAAATCATTTCGCTTGTCCATCACACAGGGCCACGGGAAGGTGTTTAAACTGGCAGTGCTGAAATTTTAAGTAGCGTATTAGTGACATCAACGATGATGTCCTGCATAATGATCTGCCTTCTTATTTTTTATAAATTTATTTATTTTGCTAATTTTTTTATCAGATGGTGTCAGTGCTATAAACGAGGGAGAGATGACCGCATACACAGATAAATGACACATTAATGCCACTGATGCTCATCCTCTTAATTAAGTGGCGACCAATCAGATTGTTGATGTGTTGCTCTCGGTCACATGCTGAGATTTAACACTGGAACACACCGAGCAGCAGATATTACAGTTGATAAAACATCATTATTACTTAGTTTTTTCCTCTTAAAAACAGTATTAGGCAGCTTTGGGACTCAGAACTGGCCAGTAACTCTGCACAGGCTTTCTTTCTCAGCTCCTCAACCTGCGTGTGTTTTAGCCACGCCCCCTAAAGCGGCCAAGTCGGCTCGCTGTAATGAAAATACGGCCTTCACTTAAACAGAGCAGCTACTGCAGATTTTACACATTTATAATGAAATATTAATACAAACTCCACTCTAAAACGAGCACAAATGAGGCTGTTATTTCTGGTCATCCAGATTCCGTAAAACTAACTGATCGTTTACGCCCACTTTTTCAATCTCAGCATTATTTTTGACTCACCAACTCATTCTATGTAAGAATGACAAACATCAATTCAGTTAAATTGTAATGTTAATGTATGCGCATCACTAATGCTCAACTATTAGCTTTAAAGGGGAACTCCATCGATTTTGCAAAATTAATGAATCATTTAATGGTTTTATAAAAAACACAATCATTCAGAGTATTTCGGTATGAAATGCGCCTTTCCAGAGAAATTTACAGAGTCAGAATTGTTCACCATTGTAGTACTAGGAACCAGACGTCCGTATCTCCACACTACAAATATCACCATTTTATCTGCCATCCACAGTGACCAGTGAACTTAAGTGTGTCTTCTAAGTTTTTGTATGTGACGCTGATAAAGATAAAATACTGCGAAACTGAAAAAATACGTTTTCTTTGGGCTCTATTTTTCCTAACAACGCCCTGAATGTACCTCTCCGCCCTGCACGCCTTTTAGGGAACGGTCCGACTGGAGAGACGCAGATTTACACACCCGCAGTTTCACTGCAGCAGAAACTGGAATCCGTGTTGAACAGCTGTAGCTACAGACTAGTAACAACAGAAGCACGTTGGCGCATTGATCTCAGTTGAGATGCTCAGATCTCAGTTTTGAGAGGAAACAAAACTACCACTAAACAATGTCTCAGGTATCAAGCAGCGCATTCATAACCATTGTGTGTAATAACTTAAAGGGATGCAGCTTTCAGAGCCATTAAACGCGTCAGACGTCTGGTTCCTGGTACTATAATGGTGAACAATTCTGACTCAGTAAATTTCTCTTCACACCGAACCACTCTGAATGATTCTGTTCACATCTAAACCATTGAATGACTAAGTAATTTTACAAAATTGGTGGAGTTCCCCTTTAACAATGATACCTTTATTAGTGCTAACTGATTAACTTTGTTCATGACTCTGCTGTGCATATTTTGGGCGTATATGGAGAGCGTGAATAAAGCCTGATGTGCAGCCGCTGTGGAGGATGGAACGAGTGTTCTTCCAGTGCGCCTTCAGTGTTTGTGTTCTTCGTTTCACATAGTTCAGACTGTTTGCAGTGAGGTTAGGTGAATGACGTGGCGTAGTCTGTATCAGGACTGATAGCACAGCACACATGGACACGCCTCTATTTCAAACGTTGCTCTAAAAACACTGAAGTGCTCGGTGTGATATTTTACACTATTCCAGCTTTTCCTCTGCACCTACACAGGACAGTGTTCTGTCGTGCTGAGCTCAGACACGTTTGGACTGCGCTCTGATTTAGATCCACATTCCACACATTCTGAGAAACGTCTCTGCTTTCACTCAAACCGCTGCGGCGGTGCAGCAGCCTCTGGAGTTCAGGCAGAGTTTTACTGCAGAGTGAACTGAGACTGTCAGAGCTGGGCCTTCAGTTCAGGACAGAAATATCAAAACTCACTCAAAAATGAGGAAACAAAACAACCTAATTGCTAATTTCTGCTAGCATTCCTATTGGATTCTGAATAGTATGTTAGCGCTAAGCTAACACTGGTGAATACGAGCATTTCTTGGCAGTTCTAGATTAAACAGGAACATTTGAATCTTGTATCAGACATTATCATATATCTGATCTTGTGTGTATCAGTGTTACAGTGACACAGAGCTGCCACCACTGTTTAACATTAACAACTAACTGGAACACTGATTAGACTACAGGTCACATTCACAGTCAGTGGCGTATCTAGAACTTCCAGAAGGCCAGTGACCCTTTTTTTTGTCCACTCATTATAATTCAAAGCGTGATTGGTTGGTTTCCTCGTCACTTCCTAATTTTGTTAGTAATTAGTTAATCTAATGTGTGAGGCCTTCAGTCCAGCTCCTGAAGTCCTAACCAGTGGGAGAGCAGCTCAGCTGAATCTACCACAGAGAGAAGAATCCTGATTGGACGATTTTCTGCTGGGCTTTTAAAGACTTTAACCCTTTTGTTTCCA